ATCACGCTTTCAGTGTTGGCTAAAGCCTCGCGATGACGTGCCTCGGCGACCTGCTCTACCATCTGCGTAATTGCAGGGTCATGTAAATTCATGTGCACTTCATTGTTCTGTACTTGTTGTAAGTGCATGGTGTTGTTCACTTCGGTCGTCTCGTGATGGTGAACTTCGACAGTATTCGATTGCACATGATGTGAGCCGGCAGGCATGCCCTCCCGGGATGCGTAAAAGTCGTATCCTCGGTGCGAAAACCTCTGCGCTCCACTTTGGGGCATCACAGCGCCTGGTGGAAGCGGGACACGAACCTCACGTTTATCACTGCGGGAGCGTTCTGAGGGAGTCTGGGAATTCGTGTTGATGGGATTGTCCCTCACAGTTTTATTGTCGTCTGCATCCTCAAGTGCCATGGCTTGTGAAACTCCGGATGGGCGAGATCCTCCCGGTGATGGTTTTCCGGGAGGGGCAGACATACTAGTGACAAAAAGGAAGTATCTGGCGATACGGCTGATAACCTATACTTAGAGGTTATTCAACCACGATCAGCCAGCAACAGCGCACGCTTTGTTTTCTTGAGCCATAATGTCAATAGTATGTAACAATGGACAACAGACACTATTTTACAGGGAAGTATGGGGAATACATAATAGTACTCCCGTAAAAACAATTAGTTAGTTGGGTTGGTTAGGCAATCAATCAAAAGCATTGAGGAGTTCTTCAAAGAAATGCGTCACATCAAACCACAAGCGCTTCATTTCTATGGGCTCTATATTTTCTTTCGAAACTTCCGCCCCCCGGCTGTGCCGGAGATTATGTTACATTATTGAAACTAGCTGCTAAAAAAGATTTTCATGTCCTTTTGACAAAGATAAGTTTAGCCGATCAACAATGAATGTACTTTCGCAGTTTGCAAATCAATTTTGCAAAATACAATGAGAAAACTATGTTGGTGGAGGCTCAAACAGAAATAGGCAATAAGTTGCCAAACGACTTAAGAATTGCATGGACACAAAACTAATGCAAACGAAATACAACGCTTTGCAACATCTTCGGCTTCTCTTGGAGGAAGAAAACCTCCATGAGCTCTGCCAAAGCTGGAAAGTACGGCTCGGGAAGCTTTGCAGTCTCTCCCAGTATCTCAGCTGACTGCTACGCTCCAAGGCGCGGCAAATGGTGCAGACATGTGCAAGCGAATAGTAAACAGCAAAGAACCCCAAGAAATCAGATGGGAAGGCAAAAGCTGGATCCAATTCTGCTTGGAATTTCACTGAAGCCTCATCCCCAAAATTTCCTGAAATGGTTTGGTCCAGCTGTAGCTCGTAGATGGCCAGCACAGTGATGATGAGGTAGGTGCTGGTGTAGGCTACATCAAGAGCCGCATCCATCATAGCGGCGCTCACTCGCACCCACTTCACAGAGGGGAATGCCAACAAAATGCTTGGATAGACGCTATTCAAGAACAGGAAGCCAACAAAAGCCCAAAAACATCCTTCGAAGGCATGTGCATGTTTCCGAGCTGAATGCAATGCAAAGGACACAATCCCACCTAAGATTTGAAACTTTCCAAGTGCCTGTAGCATCACCGTGAATATCTGCAACATTGCCACTTTGAAGCCATAGATTTTACCCTCAATGCCGAAATATGTCTCATAAAGCAGCTGAGTGGGTTTCGGTGGTTTCGACTTGACATGGCCGGAGCCACAGCGGCGCAAGTCGCTCAGAAAAACTATTGTCAAGGCCAAGTATGGCAAAGAGAGAAGAAGAGAAGGCAAAAACTGCAACAGGCTCTCTTCCCATCCGTGAGAATGAGAAGCCTCAACCTCCAGCAATTTGGAGTCTCTGGGCTCAACCGCTAGAGCAAAGGCATCTCTGACCATGTCTGGAAGACTTGAACGGATGTTAGGTGGACTGTAACGCACAAAGTATTGGCCGGCAAGGTACGCTGCAGCAAGTGAAGAGATGGCCCGAAGGAAAAAAACTACAGCAACCAGCAACCGTGATTGCTGTGTTGGTCGCCCAGAACTAGGCAAAGGATCTATCCGAGAACGACCTGGCACAAGTCCCATCTGTTCTGCCAAGCGATGCACACCATCCAGTTGACTCTCAAGCTCAGTTAAAGAGGCTTCGAGGAAACGAATCGTTGCGAAATAGTTGTTGATTCTGAAAACCATCTCGGCTGATCGGATTCCAGTATAGGCTAATGCAAAGAAGTCTCGTGTTCGAACAAGCTCGACTCCTCCCAAATCATGGCTCTCCGCTCTGGTTTTCAGAAAGCACCAAGCACTCAGCATTTCCTCCCAATCTTCAAAGACTACATTACAATACAAGAGATCTAAGATACGACTGGGCTCGCCTTCTCGCATGGCCTCTTGCGCCGCTGGTAAGGTCATCAAAGAGGGCTGCAAGTCCCGCCGCGATATGGAATGCTGTTCCTCCAAGAATTCTCGCAGTGGAAGACAACACATTTTGTTGAAGTCGTGAAGATTTCTCCTGGCTTCTATGAAATGCTCTTTCAAAGTTGTGACGTCAGGCTGGGTGATATCAAGTGTGCCTTCATCACCGAAAACTCTAGACATGTCATTTTTCAAATTCTTGGCGTACACAGCTTCCGATTCAACCTCCAGCTTCTTTGAGAGTGCGTGCATTCGGTTCAGACGAGCTGTGGTGAAAACAATGCTGACGATAGCTATCAAAGCGAGGAACAAGAAAATCAACGTTCCAGAAACTCCTGTCGACTGAGCAATGCTATAACTTGCTACCGGCAAGAGACTTAGAGCGATCAGAAACAACAAGCCTCGGCTTTCAACTTCTACCACTGCTTGCGCGAGAATGAGTACAGCCAGCTCCACATTCTGGCGCCAAGAATTTGTTGCAAGGCAAATCCTGTTGCCGAGGCCCAACCAGCGGTGCCTCTCACAATAACCTCGTTCAGAAGAATGAAAGAAATTGCATGTGGGATGGCTACAAGGAAACGGTTTGTTTTGATCAAAAATGTCCTGTTCGACGCAGTGCTCCAGGCTCTCTGATTCTCCAGCGGAATCGTCGCTTAAACTCGATTTGCCCAACATTGTGGCTTGAAAATACCTCGAATTGACATGCGGCAGCTGGCGGGACCTCAGCCATCGCATCTGCCAAAGGAAACTGCACAGGGACTTGACAGCATTGAAAGCAAGGCGAGGGAAGCGAATTTCATCCGGCAAGCCTTCAATGTTTATCCATGTCTCTAAGCTGCTTCGCCGTTTCAGCGACTTTATGGACTGGTGAAGCTCCATCCTGTCTTCAATTGACACCTGGCCACATCCACTGAGATCAACCACCAAAGTCTCCAGATTCAAAGACCGCAAGGCTGAGCTCAAACATCCAAGATCTTCCAACTGTGAGAGGTTCATGAACCTGTAGCAGCGACAACAGATGAAAATCAGTCAGCACACACTATAGGTAAGGTAAGAAGAATAGAACAACCATGTCAGAAAGGTGCAACCAAATAATGTTACAAGAAAAAGAAGTTGGATTTCAAAATCCAAACGCATGACTGGAATTTCACTCAGTGCACCATAGCTCCAGGTACATGAGCTTCTCCATCTCTCTCAAAGCAACTCCAAGCCCTGCTGCCGTCCTGAATTCTGAAGAACCGGTGAGGCGCAACTCCAGCTGGACTAAGGACTTCAGACTCGTCGTTGCAAGCGCATCCAAAGTTTCAAGACCTGAAAACCCGAGGCCCAGTCGCAAAACTTGCAAATCTGCAGGCAAACTTTGGATCAACACACCCAGCTCATTGTCAGAGAAATTGGCACAGCCCGTGAATGAGAGCTGGACTATCTTTCTACTAACGTCAGCCCTCACAGCTCTAGCCAAAACTTCAGCGCATCTTCCTGCAATTGTGAAACCGTACCAACCCGCCAAAGCAAAGTGGGAAGCAAGAGCTTCATCTACTTGTTGGAAACTCGGATCTCCGGTGGGGTAGGTCTGCAATTGCTCAAAGTCGCTGGTGCCGAGACGCGAAAGGGCCAAGCTGTTCAGAATCCGCACTTTATCAACACTCTGCGTGGCATTGGCTTCCTTAAGATGTTTCATGTTTGAAAAGAAGGCTGACTTTGGACATTCAGAAAAGATTTCATAGATCAGTGTATCTGCAACAAGTCAGAAAATCAAATTAATGGGGCCCTGTAAACTGCACAGTATACCTTTTGTGATATTTTATTTCACTCCAATATTTTCGTCTCTTCATGAAAATGTTTGGCCTCTTGGAACAAGCGTCTTCAATTTTCACCTTCAAGCCCATTTCCAGAAGGTGAAGAGGGAAGCACCGTTCACGGACGGATTTCTGGTAAAGCCCAACAATGCCAATCATGCGATCTTCTGCTCCCGCTAGCCCATCAGTCAGCACATGAGCCTCAGAAATGTTTGAAGCGTCACAATGCTTCGGTTTTTCTAAAACGATGCAAAAGTGTCAGGGTTGATCAGCTGAGCGGCTTTGTCATCTGCATCAGTAGCACCCACATCCAGCAGTAAACGGCGTTTGGACCAATTGTCATCTCGATGTTCGATCGCCTCAGCGGGTGGTTTCAACTCTGTTTGCTCTTTTGGGCTCTTCCCCTAAGCACATGTCATGTGTTTTCCAAACCCATTGGTATAATTACAAATATCTACCAACAGTCTACATGTCTACACATTGACTACAACTTCCACCAATCCCACAACATCTTCAAGTAGACATCCTGAACATCATCAATGCACATCTGCATCAACATGAGCATTCTAGCCCCACCCTCCAACCCCAACGCCACATCTTCAGGCATCGTTTGCCAGACACTTTGAAAACATCTGAGCACTGCAGGCCCACCCGGCAGCCGCAGTCCCACCCCACCAAAACACACAAAAGCAGTGGCCATCTATGCGCCACCATCCAAGAATACTTTGAAAGGTTGTTTGAGCAGACTATCATGTGCAGAATCTGTGGCCAATTCACCGAATTTAAAGATGCGAATGCAAAATTGAAATTTTGATCACGCAATTTGGCCCTTCCAAGATAAGGTCGCGGCAATGGACTCTTCGAAGCAGCACCAAATCCGCTTGAAAGGTGTTCCAGCTGAATCAAGCACCAACAGAACTCCCTGAGACATCTGCATGGCTCGGTAAAAGGATGTGCTGCGAGGGTTGCTTGTGATATCCTCTTCCACGCAATGCTGATTGTTGGCATATGCACACACCCAATAAGAGGTGCTGCTCAAGAGTTCTCGCACCAAAGCATGCTGCTCCAAGCAGGCCAGGAATTTACAAATTGGTTCCTGACTGATCAAGACTAAGCGAAACCAAGATCTTTGGATATTGGGGTTTGGCTCCATAAAATTCAAAAAGTATGCCACGATATTCATCAATATTCCACCCCAAAGGTTTGTGTAACACTTTTTCCATTTACATCCGTTCACCAAACAAGGACTTTTTAGGTATACCGCAGAAAAACCTCTTTTTTGAGCTAAGGCTCAATCCAGGCGTGGGACACAAACCAATGAGGTCTCTGAGCTTCTACTGCCATAACCTCCACCAAACTGCATCCCTTGTCCTGATAGCCTTGGGTGGCTGGCTTTATGAGCCAATAATCAGCATGATATAAGTTGAAGTCTTCAAACTTCAGCTTTGTCCCATGATCTTCCCCAAAGGTTTCGCAACATCTGTCAGCCATCTTCGAGATGAAACGAACCACTTTCACCAATTGCTCTCGAGTGATTCCGCGCTCGGCCGTGTCTGGGATGGAGCAGGCCTCCTTCAATGTGAGGGAAGCAACCAACAAAGACGATGTGAAGAGATTGGACTTCGAAAAACAGTCATGATTGTATACTCCAGAAGGTCACTTCATTGCTTTAACAACACATAAGACTTAGATTTCTCCGGTGTCCTTGTCATTTTTCATATTTTTCGGTCTTTAGTTTCCCATAGTTTCTCAAGGATCTGTGCCACTTCTCGAATTATTCTAAGTGTATCCTTGTGCTGAACATGATGGAACATGTCGCATGCATGTCTCCTTGTTGCTGATCTCCGAATAGTTTGTGAAGACCAAAGTGCTGTGGTTGGCCGCCTGAACAGAGTCATTGCACTGCAGCTGGCAAACTCCATAGGAAAGCATCTTGTTGCCATGCCATGGACAGTCTGGCAAACGCTCACGGAGAAGCAATATCACGTCAGCCGCAGTGCTCGAAGCAGTCAAAGGGATTTCGAAGGCACCGGCGGCAGGAACATCTACAGAAATCGACATTGTACAGCGAGTTCTTTGCGCTGTCAAGCAGAACGCGTTGGGCTTTAGGATGCTTCAGGTATTCCTTCAATCCTTTGCTTGTCATGGAATATGGCTGTTGCTTGCCATGCCAAGGTTTCCTGTTGAAGTGAATTGCACTGCAGTGGAGTGCAAATGCTGTGCTTACATGTGCTTACACCATGTCCGTCTTGAGAAAAGAGGTTCGGCACCAATATGCAAAATGACTCAGGCAAAATCTCCTAGACAGTCAGTACCAAGGCATGTCAGGGTCAACAGGGCAAATCATTTCACAAAGACGTCAAAATCAAACCTAGCGAGCTTGTGCATAAGCCTCATCCAAACCCGTCCGGTCCCCGGGCCCCTTGAGCTCACGCCGCCAATCTCAAGAGCCAAATGGCCCGGCCAGGTGTCACCAGGTGAAAGGCTTTCCATGCAGGGTCTCTCTGCTCAAGGTCTAAGACAGAAAGGTTTCCGAGGAACAATAAAGCATGATTTCAACAGTTTTCAATTGCCACAAAGTTCAATCATGGCTTCAACAGAAGCTCAATCATTTGCAGCCACCTAACTCAACAAGTGCGACCCTTTTTCTATTTGTTCACTCCAAATAGGAGCACTGTACGGACGGAGGAGGCTTCGCGCCCGCTGTCTATGTAAACGCCTGCTGCTACATCTCATGTAGTTGGAGAATCCGCCCAACATCTGATTCATTGATCCATGGAAGATTCCTGTTTGTGGTCGCAATCAACACACTCTGAGAAAAACGTTGTGGTTTTTGCTGTGTCTTTTTCCTTCTGAAACATGATTATTGCATTATTTTGGGATGGTCGGGTCGCAGGGAAACGACTATTCTGACAAACCCAATCCTTTTCACAAAGGAAGACGAAGACATCTGTCCTACCTCCTGGAATATCCTATTCGATATTATGATGCATCTATAATCTATAGATGTCTCCATGGTAGTTTTTTGCCCCCAAGTTTAAGCGGCGTTTCCATGGACATCCCATGCCGAGCCTTGCGACAGCTTGCTGGCCTGGAAACAAATTCTGACCTCAGCGGAAAGATGGTCAAACCACCCCCCAAAGAAGCAATCGACTTTTTTCCCATCCTTTGCCTGGAACAAAAATTGATTCAGAAAGGGCTACAGTCATCGACAGCGCCGTTTGAAGATTTTTCATGATTTTTTATCATCTACCTAATGTATACATCTAAGCCGTGCCAAAAGTGAAAGGCCCAAAAACACACCGAGCTGGTGTTTTTACTGGTCTTATTCAAAAAGTGCACTTGAGCTGTTAAATAGCTCGACCTTGAGCATCTTCATTCTCTTGGAGAAAAACATGAGAAGATCCTTTTGATAAAAACATTTTCTATGTATCTATCTATCTATCTATCGATCTATCTCTCTCTCTCTTTCATCTAATTACCTATCTATCTATCTATCTATCTCTCTCTCTCTCTTTCATCTGTCTATCTGTCTAGCTGTCTACCTGTCTATCTATCTATCTATCTATCTGTCTGTCTGTCTGTCTGTCTGTCTGTCTACCTGTCTATCTGTGGTGCAGTGTCATTCAGTGTAACGTAGTGTAGTGTAATGTAGTTTAGTGTAGTGGAATGTAGTGGAATGCAGTGTAGTGTAATGTAGTGTAGTGTAGTGAAATTTCGTGTAGTGGAGTGTAGTTGTGTAGTCGTAGGTGTAGTTGTAGTGTAGTGGAGTGTAGTGTAATGTAGTGAAGTGTAGTGGAAGGTAGTGTAGTGTAATGTAGTGAAGTGTAGTGGAAGGTAGTGTAGTGTAGTGTAGTGTAGTAGAGTGTAGTGGAGTGTAGTTCTGTAGTTGTAGCTGTAGTTGTAGTGTAGTGGAGTGTACTGAAGTGTAGTGTAATGTAGTGAAGTGTAGTGGAAGGTAGTGTAGTGTAGTGTAAAGTAGTGTAGTGTAGTGGAGTGTAGTGTATTGTAATGTAGTGTAGTGTAGTGGAATGTAGTGGAATGCAGTGTAGTGGAGTGTAGTGGACTGTAGTTGTGTAGTTGTAGTTGTAGTGTTGTGGAGTGTAGTGTAATTTAGTGTAGTGTAGTGGAGTGTAGTGTAATGTAGTGTAGTGTATTTTAGTGTAGTGGAGTGTAGTGGAGTGTAGTGGAGTGTAGTGGAGTGTAGTTGTGTAGTTGTAGTTGTAGTTGTAATGTAGCGGAGTGTAGTAGTGTAGTGTAATGTAGTGAAGTGTAGTGGAAGGTAGCGCAGTGTAGTGTAATGTAGTGGAGTGTAGTTTAGTGTAGTGGAGTGTAGTGGAGTGTAGTGGTGTGTAGTGGAGTGTAGTTATGTAGTTATAGTTGCAGTGTTGTGGAGTGTAGTGCAATGTAGTGTAGTGGAGTGTAGTGGAGTATAATATAGTGTATATTAGTGTATTGTAGTGAAGCGAAGCGAAGCGATATTTGAACCTTTCAAAGTGATCCGAATCCTGGTTGTTTTAATATTTTGACTTCGAAATGTGTTTCGCGTCACAACGACATACACTTTTTGGATATCTCGACCTCTAAAAGTGGCGCGAACATGTGGTATTTTGTATATGTTGACTTCTAAATGTACTTCGCGCCACAACGGCGTGCACTTTTTCGACATCTTAATTTCCAAAAGTCGTCCGACACTGAGGTGATTTGTACATTTTAACTTGGAAATGTGTTTCGCGCCACAACGGCATGCACTTTTTCGACATCTTAACTTCCAAAAGTCGTCCGACACTGGGGTGTTTTATTTCATTTTGATTTAGAAATGTGCTTCGTGCCACAACGGCGTGCATTTTTCGACATCTTAACTTCCAAAAGTGGTCCGGAGCTGAGGAGTTTTGTACATTTTGACTTGGAAATATGCTTCGCGCCATAACGGTGTGCAATTTTTCATCTCTCATCTGGCCAGCTGGCTCCGCACCGGCCGCTTTAGCGAGCCTATTTTTCGACCCTCCGGAACCACAAATCGTTGGAAACACACAGAAATTCGCGACTTTCCTACCTTTTCGGGCATCTGCATCTTCTTTCTTCTGATTCTTTCTCTTCTCTGATCTTCTCTCTTCTAATCTTTCTCTTCTCTCTGCCTCTGCCCTGCTCTGCTGTTCATCTGTCCATATTGTCGGGAGTTTGATTTCTAAATTTCTTTCGATTATATTATTATCTAACAAATAGATAAATTGGGCGGAATTTTCGGACGAAACCTCTAATTTTCACGGGAATTTGAACATTTCGGAATTTCCGAGACTTACAAATTTCTGACATATTGGTGCTACGGGAGTTTGACTCAACCGCGAGATTTCCCCGCAATTTGGTGCTTCGGGAATTCGCCTCCATTTTCTTTCTTTTTTGCACCGGGTACTCGCTAGTATTTAATAAATATTTAATTAATTTTTTTTTCCCCACCTGCCAGGTGAGGGTTGTTAGATTTTATCAGAGCTGTTCTCCTCCTCCTCCTCCACCTCCGCCTCCTCCACCTCCACCTCCGCCTCCGCCGCCTCCTCACCCGCCGCCTTCTCCTCGCCGCGAGTTGCAGATCGCAGTGGGCACTGCCGGACCTCAACCGCGACTTCCAGATCGCAGCCCACACAAAGCCATAATGTATTGAGAACCCCCCCTCATTTTTAGCACATAATCATGGGGATTTATATAATAAAAAATATAATTAAAACTAAATTATGATATTTTTTATAGTCCCCACCGTAATATTTATATATTTTCTTACTGGAAATTTTCTATTTGGTAAATCTTTTGGTATTTTATCTGGCATATTTTCTTGCATTTTATTTGACATATCTTCTGGCATTCTATCTGGCATTCTATCTGGCATATCTTCTAGCATGTATTCTGACATATCTTCTGGCATTCTATCTGGCATTCTATCTGGCAGGTCCTAAAATATTCATGAGTCCATAAAATTCATTTAAAAAAAATCAAAAGCACAAAATCCACCAAGATCATGCCATTTGGCTCACAAGTTCCAGCACTAAGCAGCGCCAAATCATAGAAATAAAAATATATTTCATCATTGCATTGCATTATATTACATACTACTACATATTACAGGTTACATGTTACAGCTTACACATTACATTTCGTTATTCAGGTGTGACGGAGCTACTTGTTTAGCTAGCTCTGCCCTCGTGACCCTAGCAGGCGCCACATTAGCCGCCTCAGATTTTGATCCTTGAGCCACGGTATAGTTGCCATGCATGAGGTCTTTGAACTTGTGCAGAGATTTCGGCATCGGCGCAGTCTCTGTATTTGTAATCTCTTCTTCTTTGATCTTCCTGGTGTTGGTCGCGAAGGCGCGCGCGTATACGCACACAAACATGTACAGAAGGTCTTCGCACGCACTACCGTACCTGCGCCAAGGATTTTAAGAGCCACCAACCATATGAAAATGGAATCATTTCTGGGGCGCCTTCCCTATCATTCTCGCTACCGTCCTCCTATGGACCCTGCGTCGAAGACCTACACGCAAACAGAGACAGATCCATTTCTGGAGCCTACAGAGAGGCGCGCGCCTGTCCATCAGCGTCCTTATATATACTGTCATAGAGAAAGAGAGGGGGAGGGAGAGAGAGAGAGAGCGAGCGAGAGAGAGAGAGAGGGAAAGAAAAAAAGAAAGAAAGAAAGAAAGAGAGAAAGAGAGAAAGAGAGAAAGAGAGAAAGAGATAAAGAGAGAAAGAGAGAAAGAGAGAAAGAGATAAAGAGAGAAAGAGAGAAAGAGAAAGAAGTAGAGTGGTGGAGAGGAGCGGCAACGTCCATATATACCATCTGGAAATTACAAAGAAAGAAAGAGAGAGGGTGGTAGAGAATGTCCCTGGCTCTAGAAATAAGTCTGTTTTTCATTGCGCGCCAGGAGGGCGCCGGGCGCGCGCCTCACACAACACAGAGGCGCGCGCCCCCAGCGCGCGCCGGACACTAGGCGTGCGCCAGGCGCGCGCCCGTCCATCAATGTCCATATATATATATAAATATTTATATAATTTATATATATATATTTATTTAATACGCCCGTCCTTCAACGTCCATATATACATCTAGAAAGAAACAGAGAAAGAGAGAGAGAGTGAGAGAGAGGGTGGTAGAGAGTGTCACACAGATAGAAAGGCTGGTGGAAAGTGTCTCTGGCCCTACAAATAGGCGCGGGTTTCATTGTATGCCGGGCGCGCGCCTCACACCAGACGCGCGCCGGGCGTGCCTCGCACAACACAGAAGCGCGCGCCCCGCGCGCGCCTGACAGTAGGCGTTCGCCAGGCGCGCGCCCGTCCATCAACGTCCAGAAAGAAAGAAAGAAAAAGATTTTGGCAGACTAGAGGGAAAGAGAGAAAGAAAAAGATTGGTAGAGAGCGTGTCTGGCTCTAGAAATAAGTCTGTTCTGCATTGCATCGCAAGCGCCCCGGGCACGCGCCTCACACAACACAGACGCGCGCGCCCAGCACACCTGCGCCCGTCCATCAACGTCCATATATAACATCTAAAGAGAAAGAGAGAAGGAACGAATGTGGAAATAGGTCTGTCTTTCATTGCGGGCCACAACACAAAGGCGCGCGCCCAGCGCGCGTGTGTCAGGCGCGCCCGTCCATCAACGTCTATAAATACCATCTAAACGGAAGAGAGAGGGCGGTAGAGAGTGTCTCTGACTCTAGAAATAAAGGTGTTTTCAATTGCACGCCAGCCCCGCGCGCCTCACACAGAGCGCGCGCCAGGCGCGCGCCCATCCACCAATGTCATTATATACCATTGGCTGGTAGAACGTGTCTCTGGCCCTACAATAGGCGCGCGCCTCACACTAGACGTGCGGTGGGCGTTCATCGCACAACACCCAGCGCGCGCCTGACGCTAGGCGCGCGCCCGTCCATCAACGTCCAGAAAGCAAGAAAAAAAAAGATTGGTAGACTGGAGAGAAAGAGAGAAGGAAAAAGATTGGTAGAGAGCGCGTCTGGCTCTAGAAATAAATCTGTTTGCATTGCATCGCAGGCGCCGGGCACGCGCCTCACACAACACAGAGACGCGCGCCCAGCACGCGTGCACCCGTCCATCAACTTTCAAAAACCATCGAAAGAGAAATAGAGAGAAGGAACGATGTGGAAATAGGTCTGTCTTTCATTGCGCGCCACAACACCAAGGCGCGCGCCGCGCGCCTAGTGTCAGGCCCGCGCCCGTCCATCAATGTCATTATACCTATAGCCACCGCAGTCTAAAATTTGAGCCCGAATGGGTTTTGACCTATTTTTCTGCCTGACCCTGGAAGTCCCGCCTGACCCTAAATCTTCGCCTGTAGGGAAATTTGCGCGTTTTTGTTTTGATTCACTGTTCCGCATTTCTGCTTCGCCATTCCTGGACAAACGAGTCCGCAAAATGGCCAGTAGATAAAGCCTTTCCTCGCGAATTCTCGCCTGTTTCCCGGGTATTCCCGCCTGTTTTCCGGGTATTCTCGCCCGACTTGCTTTGACACAATTTTTCAAAACTTGCCTGAACTGCACATGCAAGAGAAAATTCAAGCCCTGATTGTTCGGGGAAGATATCTTTAGACCTACTTTGTCAAATTGCAATTCTTGCCTGAATAGCGTTTCTTGCCCGAATTGGCAGTCATGCTTTTTTTCAGCCCGATCACAGAAAAGGCTACTATTCCAGTTCAGCCCCAAATTTCTGCCTGTTGGAGGCCGCAGGTATACCATAGGCTGGTAGAAAGTGTCTCTAGGGTTTCAATGCATGCCGGGCGCGCGCCGGCGCGCGCCGGGCGCGCGCCTCACACGACATTTTATCTGGCATTCTATTTGGCATACCTTCTGGCATTCTATTTGGCATATCTACGGGCATTCTATCTGGTATATCTTCTGGCATTCTATTTGGCATATCTTCTGGCATTCTATCTGGCATATATCATGGCATTTTATCTGGCATATCTTCTGATATTCTATCTGACATATCTTCTGACATTCTTTCTGGCATATCTTCTGACATTCTGTCTGGCATATCTTCTGACATTTTTTCTGACATTTTTTCTGGCATTCTATCTGGCATATCTTCTGACATTCTATCTGACATCTTTTCTCACATTCTTCCCCTTGAGCTCCGGCAGTGCCCACTGCGATCTGGAAGTCGCGGTTGAGGTCCGGCAGTGCCCACACATGCAAGTTGGCCTAGCAAATAGTCAGGGCCCAAAAATTCATCACCAAAACCTTTCTTCCAACGAGTTATTCCAGAGGCATCAACAAACTTTGCTGACATTCTCGTCGTCACATAACTGCAATCTTGTGGCCACTGTTGCGGGCGAGGAGCTAAACCTGCTGGAAGAAAAAGTGACCTAGCCACTTCTTGGAACCATCGGATCTCACGTTCCACTTGCGAGTTGTGAGGAAAACGGTTCGGCACGGAAGCTTCTGAAAGCCAACCCTGCTCAACTACCGCCTTAAGAATCTCACCAGCAGCGTCGGACTTCACGATTGCAAACTCGCTGCCACGCAAACCAACGAAGTGCTTAAAAGATGAGGCCACTTGTGCAGCATCTCTGGAAACTGAGGATACGCTTGAATGACTTTCGAGAAACGATCTTGAATGATGAAAACTGCATGTTCTTTTCCTCTTGCTGATTTCAAAACACTGATGTGATCGCATGCAAGCTGTTGACCAAAGGCATCAGGATCCGGCAAATCAAGATGTTCGTCAGACTGGCGAACTGATCGCACTCTCTTGCTGTACAACCGCGCTCGGTTGCAAACATCACAAAAAGGTGACTTCGGCCAATGAGTCAAACATTGCTCTCTGGATAAGGCAACAACCCTACCCTCTAATACCTTACCTGAAATCTCAACTGGGGCATCATCAACCTTTGGGGAATCATGCTCGACAGAGACATCACCGAGTCCTTGCAGATCACGGACAACATCAAGCTGGAACAACGGTTCCGAATCCAAGTCTGGAATTGCCTCAGGAGATTCTTCAGGTGCGGGCATGCCAGGAATCATATTAAACTTTTGAATGAAAATGGGACAAACTCATGGACTCTTGAAGCATAAATCTTGGCACCCTCATCGCAATCAACAAACATCTTGGCTCCCTTTTTGACAAAAAAAGGCAGCTCACCTGGCTTCCACACAAATGACATACCGTCCGCAACGTCCTGCCCAATCGTTTGGAGAAAAGGGCATCCGGAAAGCACAAAATGAGCTTGAAATCCAAGAGCTAAATTTGAATCTCTTTGTCCCCCGCCTGTGTGAAAACGGAGGAACTCATGCGACGGACGGAGGAAGGGCTGGATAACTGAAGCATCACCTCCTTGTTGTGCCAAAGCCTCATGAGACACCAAATGACGAGCAGCGCCACTGTCGGCAGCAAACTCCAAAAGACCTTCAACTGGAGAAACCATGGAAGACAAGGCAGCTACGAGTGCAACTACAGCCATAGCCTTTGCCTTCGCCGCTGGTTTGGAATCAGGCTTCGCTTTGGGCTTGGTCTCTGAACTAGTCCCCCCTGAATTGGCCTTCTTGGGGGAATCGTGAAGATATGAACATTTGTCACCGTGAACACACCCGGAAGGCATTTGGTAAGAGACACACGGTGTTTTCACTTTCTCTTCTGGGTTCATTTTTCCTTTCGATTTTCGTTTTCCACCCTTCTGAGCATTCTTAGTAGAGTCAGCTTCCAGCCTCAGTGGTAGCGGCAGCGGCCGGTGCAGATGTAGTTGATTTTGCAGGAGAGGCAAGGGCTGCTTTTAGTTGCTTCTTGCCTTCTAAAAGATCAATTCAATCACCTTGGCATTGACATCCTCCCTCTCTTCAACCAGCAACGGTTGCAAACGACCCCACAAAAATGCAAAATTCCCCTCATCGGCTTTTAAACTTGACATTTTGATGGTTCCAATTGCGCGTTCCAACTTTCGCACACTGGGCAACTGATGGAACAGCCATTCGCCAAGCATACGTTCATTTGGCCAGTCATCTGCAGATATGGAATTCAAGGTCTTCATTGCCAAACTCGAAAATTCCCGGAAATCCTTGATGGTATAGCCCTGCAAGGTGACTTGGAAAATGCTTTGGGTAGTCAACAAAGCCCCCCTGTTACGGTCCAAATCAAAATGTCTAGAAATCATATGCAAGATGGCACGACCCCTGGGCGATTGCACTTTCCTAGTACAACCTTCGACATAACCTGGGACTCGAAAAGAGAACTCTGGGATGCCCTTCAAAGACTTAATTAACTCACCGGCCAACCACCGCTGAAGGCGTGGGAACAGACCCGAAGAAGATTCAACTTCTTTTTCACCGTCAACCTGAAAGGATGGTGACAACCACAAGGTCAAGGCTTCTTTTCCGGAGATGTCAAATCTACCAAGCAACAAAATGAGGGTGTTCTTCCAACCACGGTATTCGGCCGCATTGTTGGGGAGTGCGTCAATGCAAGCACTCTGCAAGGCCCGTGCATCAACTACATCCTTTTCACGAACAACATCCTCAGAAATTTCTGGTACCAATTCAACATCATCATTGTTTGGATCATCACCGTCATCCCCACCTTCATCGTCCCAGTCACCTGGATCAGGAGGATCGACTGGCGGTGGTACCTGAAAGCTGCTTGGCACAGGCAAGATGGGAGGAATGTTTTGAACTGGCAAACAATCCGCGACATTTCGGCTTTCTACATAATCAAGACGGCTAGAAAAGGATTGGATTGCTTCCATCATGGTGGACATGGCATTTCGCATCTCCCCCTCAAACGACTCATGCCTCTCTGCTGGAACACTCTGTTGCACAGCGGTGGCGCTTGACGCAGCCAATCCCGCCTCAAGCGCTTGGCAATGGAGTTGAAGTCGAGAGATCTCACCGTCTTTCTGACCAAGTTGATAGTCTTTACTTTGGGATTCATTTATTAACCGCTGGATTTCGGAGTCTTTGTGCCCTACTATCCTAGTGGCATTTTCATACTGAAAAATCTGCTGTTGGAGTTGGGATTTGATGGATTCCACTTCCGGAGACATTTGCTGCAGTGGCAAATCCTTGGATTGATTCAATTGGATTTGCTCCCCAATCACCTGGCCTTTCTCCAAGCATGACTGATGAAGTTGTTGAGAAATTGACACAAGCTGTTGGCAAGCTTGGCTACAAATCTCTCTTGATAACCCTTCAAAGTGACAAGCACGGTCTTGCGCATTTGAAATCAAAACCTTGGCTTCACCAACCATCTTTGCAAAGTCAACAGGGTCAACACCAACAGCCACCGTTTGGACGACTACTAGGAGCAGGACCATGTTGAGAACTCTCTGGCATTGACTTCAGACGTTTTGAGTTTCGGACCACGACTGTCTGATCTTGCCTGAGAGACTGCAACTGTTCCGGCAGGAATTGAAACATCTGCTGGTTCCGAACTGATGTGCAAACTTGACACTTGGCCTGAACCTGACATGACGGGAAAAGAAAGTCCACAAAGAAAACACGGCTCCTCTCGTGACCACTAGGAACAATCCAAAGCAGTCAATCCACCGTGGCGCTCCGAGCCGCCAAACAAGGTGGTTGATGAGGATCAGAAGAGGATCAGAAGTCCAAAAGAAATCCTGGCAAACCCTTCTCACTGAAACGGCGACGCAGCTATGCAGTGAGGGGCGCAGGACGTTCAAATGTAGAAAGTAAATTCAATGCAATCAGTTGCAAAAAGGTGCAAGAGCCAAAACGGACTCGAATCTGAAAGAGACAAATCCAAATTCCAACGCAAATGCGTGAAACCACCGCTGGTGACGCAGTGCAACAACCGAAACATCTTGCGGTGAAACACAAAAAAATGCTGGCTCTTGCAAAAGAGAGGTTCATGGCAAATCGCAATCAAATTTCACAATGGGAGATGTTTGGGAAATGCCAAACTGATGAAGTCAAATTGATAAAGTCAAGTCGATGATATTGCTGGCAAGCTTCTGAAAACGCTCAAAGCAAAATGCCGAGAACTCAAATCGTAGTCTTGGGTTTATATTCAAAGCAAAATGCCGAGACCCTGAAGACCAGCACACAGCAAAATGCCGATGAAAACCGGAGCACGGTACTCCCGCTGTGGCGCTGACGCGGCCTTACAGCAGCGAGGCACTTCAGGCACCGCTTTGCTGTCAACAACAATGGTTCCGAAAAGATCGACCAACCAATGCACTCCTGTCTCAAAAGATGGGATCGACGCGCCCTTGGTTTCCAGACCAGTGCGATGTGCCGATTTACCTCAGAAAACTCCTGAATGATTTCCAAGTTGTCGTCGAACAAACAAAAAATTCCCACTGATCACTGAACGAAGTGCTGCTAGCTTCCCCTTAGGACCTGCCCTCTCAGTTGTAATCAAAACCAGTTGCACCAGCAGACCACTTTGCTCCGTGCTGCGGACCAAGTTCTCCAGATCGCGAGAGGATGACTCAATGTGGCTGCAAATCACCAAATGGACTGGACTTTCAGATTGTTGGCATAATTGCTTAACTCAGTTAATGTAGCCTTGTGCGTGTGAGGAATCTGTCCGTCAGCGTCAATCCACTCAGCACGCGCCCTTGTCATGCGGTCGGTTCCATGTACGAGCTTTTGGGGAGCTGCCAACCACAAAAATCTATGATTAAGGGGTTTAGAAAAGACCAACCACAACAGCAACAATCAAAGAGACCTAGACGGCTGATAACCAATTGAATTGTTGTTTAACAACACCAAACCCCAAAAAGGAAAAACAAGTAAGCAAGACCGCAACTGATCCCAGGCAGCGGCTGCTGCGTTCTTCTAACAAGAACATCTTGAGCCAAAAGTTACATTATGATGTTTACATGGACTTGACCGGAAAGGAAGGGTTTTACAAATGAATATGTAGTTATATGTTTTACCCTACAATATTCAAGTAGATTATAGATTATAGGTGTGTATAAAATATATATGTGTGTGTGTGTAAAATATTTTGGAATTTAAGATGAGGTAAAAATAAATTTAATCATAAGAAGAAATATATAAAATTATAAATATATATATAATATATATACATATCAGAATGAAAATATAATGAAAAATTAAAGATATAAAAAGTAATTAAATAATAAATTAAAGTTCAAAAAAATAGAAAATTCCACAGATAGTGAAACCAAGAATGCAGCAGGAAAATAGATAAGCAAAAATAAAGAAAAAATGTATGCAGAAAAAATGTATGCAGAAAAAATGTATGCAGAAAAAAATGCAAAATACTAAAAGCAAAGGCGCAGAAAAGCAGACCGCAGAAAGAGCAAAAGAAATGAAGAAAGAAACATTGAAGCATTAAAGAATCAGAAAGCCAAAAAAAACAGAAGAGCAAAGAAGCCAAAAAAAAAAAGCAGAAACACGCAGGAACCGAAAAAAAAAACAAGAAGCAACCAAAGAATGCCAAAGAGACATCCGGAAAAAAAAAGGTCCAGTTAAAATATCCCTGCACAAATCCTTTCCCGCATCAGGAACGGATTGCTGCAAACCGTATAACAGGATAACTTTAAAATTAATGATACTGTACCTTTCCATACAGTATTATCCTCCTCTTCAGTGGATTCCACATATTCACTTACGCAGTCGACCCATATTTTCTGCCTTTTCGCACCCTGATGGGATCTGGCAAAGCGACTTCTACAGTACTCGCGGGTCCTTTGCAAGGAACGGGGCCAAATGAACGCCCGAGCCAATCAAGTTCTTCTAAAAACACGGGTGCATTCTAATTGGCTTCCATCGCTGCGGGTTCGCACGACCCTTCTGGAAAAGGCCGACCCTCCATTGCTCACAACCAACCTCGCATCCGGCAACACCAAACTGGAACTTGAAGAGGAGGTGCACAAGACAATTCAAATGAGACAGGCACGTGTCACAAAGGCCACCCTCACCAGGTGGAAACTCCGTGATCATCTCCTGGCAATCGTAACACCTTGTGTAGCAACGCTGAACCAAAAAAAAATGCTTATTGTTAAGATGAGATCTGAGACTGTCAGAAAGCAGCCGACAATATGCAGCAGTCCAGTTCGTTGTGTGTGCACTTGGAGAGTCTCAATCGCCTGGCACCAGCGAGAGTGCGACTTGACAAGACTGACAAGAAATATGAAACGCCGCGTTTGCAAACACTAATGCAGCCGATGCACATCTCACCCTTCATTCTCCCAGCTGGAGGCACTGGCTTGTGGACCCAGGTGCCATCCACTGGTAGCACGTCTTCAACAGTCACCAGATTTTTGACAATGAACGTCACGTGGGTCGCAGACTTTGAAATCACTAGCACAGACCTTGGGTGCAGGAGTGATAGGAGTGTTTCAATTGCTTATAGTTGTTGAAACTTGTAGCTAGAAATGGTCATAATCTGTCATGGGCAACAGAAGTCACACAGCAATGCCATGCACATCCTTGTGAAAAGCCACTCACTCTATTTGCAGCTTTGACACGTTTTCGCATCTGCAGCTTTTCGGATCAAATAATTCACGCCCATGTCCTATAAAAGTTAAACGCTCTGAGCATTTTTCAATCCACAGCATTTGCCGGAGCAGCTCGGTGCAGTCCTTCAGAATGTTTTCATATTTCTCACTGCAGGCTTTGTCCAAAGTCCAGACTCCAGACCAAGCAGGTGGCCCTTCATTTTCTTCCGGTTCCCGGGGGTCCACTGTCTCGACCTGAGCGAAGGCTGCCTTTGTACAGCTTGATGCTGCCTTTCGCAACTTCCAAAAGTGGCATTCTCGGCACAACAACATACGGTACCGTACAACAACAGCATAGCCGCAAAGCTGATTCAGCCAGGAGCATGTCGGGGAGCCTGTTCAAGTTTGACCAGACGCTCTACCTCGGTCACCAGTCGCTTGAACGCATTCCATGTAGTTCAACACTATCACAACAGATTATGTGTGCAGTGTATGCGTCCGAGATGATCTGATGTCCTATAACCAAGTGTTGCCTCCTCTGTCAAGGGAGTGCGCGGCTGCAATGTCCCCTGAACTGCTCTATTTCTAGAGTGCCGCCCCCAACGTTATGAAATTAATCCGCTGTGCAGTGTCAACCAGAAGCGATAAATGACCAATTCTTCACTATACGGAGGAAATGCACGCGCGATCACACCCACAAGTTCCTTCGACCTTTGAAGCTTCATTGACTAGCACGTGGGGCACTTGGGTGATAACAGTTACAGCTTTTGTGCTAAATACTCATTCGGTCTCATTCGCTGAGATTTGAAAAAGCAACCCGGAAAACAAAACGGAAAACTAACCAGCAATTTAGACAGAAACATGTTCCAAGAGGTGTCTCTTTATCGACCCCTGTTCGAGTCCCTTTCTGGAGCTAGACCCTGCACATCTGCAAGATGTCGAAATCCAAGTGGTGTATCGACGAGTCAGTTTATCGGTTACTTCCAGCGCCCAGCGCATCCCAAAACAAATTGCATCAAATTGCGATAAATTGAAAAGATAATGGAAGAAACATTGATAAGAAACATTAAAATGCAGAAAGGCCAAGAGTCAAGAAATACTTCAGACCCATGGAAGGGAACGACAACTTGAGCAGTAAAAGGTGAACAGGACCGCTCTTACTTTCCCCCACGGTGAGGATCTAACTGGGAGCTGGAGGATCAACTCTGTGACTGCCACCACTGGCTAGGAACAACTTCATCCGTGAATACTTGTGAGTTACTTGTGTTTTGTTCCTGCCCATATCTGCCGCCTCAAAGATTTCATGACCACAGTTCCAAGAGGCAGCGAGATATGGACGTGTTTGTTAACAAGCACATGTTATAGTTGTAGGCACTGATGCAAGAACAAACGCAAGAAGAAGCACGTACAACACTTGCAAATTACATGCCTCTGCGCTAGTTGACGTCTTAAAGAATAATTGAAGTTTAATTGCATTTAAAAACTTATGTCATAAGCATGAGCTTGGACTGGCTTGTGTGATCACACTCATGCCGCCCTTTTCTAGACGACCCTGCAAATGGCTCTGCCTTGTAGGTGGGGCGGAGGCATTTTTGTTGTTGTAGGGCGGTGGTGCTAGCACTGTGGTCAAAAAGTTGCGATGCGCTTACGCAACGCAGCACGCAATTGCTGCTCCTCCTCCTCCTCCTTCTTCAATGTTTTGCTATTGGTTTGTCTGGGACTTGGCTCTTCCCAACAGGCATGTGAGGGGTAGATGCCACACAGAGACCACAACGTTAATTCCAAAACACACACTGCGTTTCTGTAGATGTCACCACCGTCAAACAGGAACTCATAAACTCCTCAAATCACCCTGCGCTACCTCCTCTTGCTCTTTGCTCTGAGCCCTGAAAAAAGGGCGAAGGAGACGAGAGTCAGGATAGGGAAGGAGATTGCTTCAGGATCACTTCAGGTGGGTATCTGCCATCAACATTGCACACGCAACCATCAGCAAATGTCCTGTAGGAAGGATACATCCGGTCAAGGCAAACTGACAGCTGGAGAGAGCCAAAGATCCCGGAAGCAAGGAATGGCAGGGTCTAGGAAATTGTGCGCAAAACCCAGCACCAAGCATATCTGCTCGACCTCCCTCCATCCTCCCGCCATCCCATCAAGATGCAAATGTCCAAATAGAATCATAAAACGACTGACAGTAGTCTGCCACTGCCAAACTTCATGAGCACCCGTGGCACATGATGGCATTAATTATACTCTGGGCCAAACCTGGACAAGACCTCACGATATATGGGCATCGTGCTGCCAAGACAACATGACCATCGCAGCATGCGTTCAAAAGCTGTTGCAGTTGAGGAGCTGAAAATGTAATCTGGCGGGCTGGAAGTGTCTGGCTCCAATGCCAAGCATTCCACAGCAAAGCAACCTAAGTCCAAGTATTCGAGCTGTTGCAACCGGTGAGTACGAACAGTCAAGGGTCGGCGAGTGTGACAAGCCGCGGGCTTTCATGCCTGCACAATGACAAGGATCCGGCGGCCATTCCTGAAGTCTCCAACCGCCACAGCCAAAGGACGGAGGAAACAACGCCTTGGTGAAGCAGGCTTAAGGCCTTCTGCATGCTGCATTGTGATGTATGCGATACAGACTAGCCAAAGGTCCCAGCTCACAACTCCAAGAATCAAAGGAAGCATTTGAAAGCTCGTCTTCACAGAAGTGGTCTCAAGCACTTGAACCTTGGATGAATCAAGGGAACGCAAAGCAGCGAACCGAACCAAGAGTGCCTGCAAGTGGCAGATAGAGACTTTTCCATTGCTTCTCCTGCATGGCTGTAAGGCAGCACACCAACTCAAGGACTTGATTTGATTCAAAGATATTCAAAGAATTTATGAGAATTCACAGCCAAGCCTGCTCCAAGGAATTCCACCTGGCATACACAAAAAGGAAAAAAAGCTCTTTTGACCACAGAAGTGTCCTATCTGACAAGTTCACGATCAGATTCACAACTTTTGCCGGGGCCACCGGAAACGATGCGGATGTCCGTGGCTGGCAGCTTTGCAAAGGGAGTCTGCAGAGTGCCTCTCGGCTTACCGGAGAGATTTTTTCTGTGTTGTAAGCGGCGTCCACGGACTCTGCAATGAGAAATTCTTGCAGCTCGAATGACTCGAATGATAAAAAGAAAAGGAACGCATTTTGGATATGGACACCTGCAGCGCACGCCCTGATTGCTCGCTGAGCGAGGCGTCCTTCACTGAACCAGGAGATCAGGGTTCCACTGTTGAAATCCCCGGTTGATGATTTTCCCGTCAAAACCTTAAGGATTTCCAGTGCCATGTCTGATCACCGAAGGGTACACTCGGTGTTGAATTGGTGTTGACATGTATTGACTCTCTGACCAGTGACATCATTCTGTCGCCAGTCCAGTATCAGGACTAAAGCGCAGCTGGAAGGAGAAGCAAGCTGCACAGTCACGGGCTGTCTCCAACCAACCACCTGGCAAGATCTGATTGGTGGTTTCCATCTCCAAAAAAATGACTGTTAGAGTGATTAAAGATCGTCATCTGACATACGTTCTTATTGAAAAAAACGGCTACCATTTGGAAACCACCAACCACAAATGAAAAAACCTTCCAACATTGGACCATTTCGATTACAGCTCCAGTGGGGCCTGATGGCGCCCATCAGCATGCATCAAAAACAAATCAGGCTCCTGTGGAAGCGGCGTGCAATACGTCACCGCTGCTGTGTCACTTGGCCCACCCATGCCGTCCTTGTCGTCGGCTGAAGCCACTGACCTTCCAGAGCCCCATGGCATCAGCTGGAAATATGACGAAATATGGTTCGATCGCCCCCAGGCCATGACAAATAGTCGAAAAGTTTTTTGCTCATAAAATGCGTTCTCAAAATGGGCAAAGCAACCAAAAAGAAGTTGATCTCAGCATGTATCTCAGGGAACGTGGAGAAAAGTTGGCTGCACCCATCGTGGCAGTTGATCTAGTGGCCATCAACCTGGCCTTTGCCTCTGGACAGGCTCACGGCCTACGTTCACGTCAAAGGCTCCTCGTGAAAATGTGATATGTGGCATGGTCATGCATGGTCAAGAAATGGCTTAAATGATGGTTTCCGGTCATTCCACCATTCTCAGGAATTCCTTGTAGTGGGTATGTTAAGCGCTAAAAAAAATGGATTAATGGCCATGTAAAATGCGACTTGTTTGACCATGGCACGCCATGGCACTTATGTTCGTGGCGTGGAGGGGTAGGTCTCCTGCTGCAGCATTGATAGCCTGCAGCCACCTTCTTTGCTCCGGCTCTGTCTTGCAGCCTCGGTTGATGAACATGAACTCACCCGCGGAGAAGCAGAATCCTGTTGGATCGTGTGGCACCAACACAGGAGACCTGCAGTCAAAAACTCAGGTCCGCTTGAACAGTCGATGTTGGCCAGCCCGTAGCTGGCTTAAAACGTGGGCTCTGGGGGGGGGGGGGGTGCACGGAAGGTGCTGGAAAATGAAAAAGTGGTGCTGGAAAAAAAAAATGTGGGAAAAATGTGGTGTTCAAAATCAAAAAATTGGTGTTTGGGCCTGGTGTTTGATAATCCCTTTTGTGGTGTTAAAAACGCCTTTTTGTGGTGTTAAAAACGGTGTCAAAATTCTGGGGGGGTGGAGGATGTCAAAAACCAACCAACCAGTCCCAACATATGGGAAGTCAATGCTCAGGAGGAACCAAATTGCAGCCACCATTATCTACTGCAATGTTCTATTGCTACAACTTGAACTACAATATTTTAACAGTTTACAACAAGGAACACCCCCTTGTGGGAACACAGCCGCAACCCTTTCGCTCTGGCCCAACATGACCACATTCTACCCGGATCCAGAACATGCTGTGAAACCGTGAAACTGTCAAGTGAAACTGCCGGGCTTTCGGAAGCTTGAAATTGGAAACAAAACCTGTGACCCAACTGGCCCAACAAAATCTGTTGACTCAATGGCACAGAACTATCATCAGAATCCGCGCTCTCGGAAGCGGAATCTTCAACAGATGAGAGCGCAGGTAATTTTCTGTTTGGTTTGGGATTTTAGGTCGCGCCCTTTTTCTCTGTTTTTGGGATCCTTTTTGGGCGCAAAAAGGGCGCGCTTTTTAACCCCTTTCGAAGTGTCAATCCAACGGGAAAATTACCAAAAAGCCTAGAGATTGGGAAGGGTTTGGTCTGGTTTCAGCCGGTTTCAGCCCGAAACAGCGCGTTTTTTTGACACCCAAAAAATTGAAATCTGACACCGCTTTCGGCAAATTCGGAACCAGTCGGGAACCAGTCGGGAACCAGTCGGGAACCAGTCGGGAAAATCCGTGCACCGCCCCAAAAGGCACAAAAATGCTTGTTTTTGCAGGGATTTGGCACTTTTTTGGTCGAATTTGGCACTTTTTGCAGGGTTTTTGCCAAAAATCGACCAAAAAAGTGCCAAATCCCTGCAAAAACCAGCATTTTTGTGCCTTTTGGGGCGGTGCACGGATTTTCCCGACTGGTTCCCGACTGGTTCCCGACTGGTTCCCGACTGGTTCCGAATTTGCCGAAAGCGGTGCTGAAATTTGCCGAAAGCGGTGTCAGATTTTGGCCCGAAATTTGCCGAATTGGATTATTTCTTAGGATTTGGGAAGTGTTTTGGTGGGTTTGGGGCGGGTGGGGGCCAGTTTGGGGGTGTTCGGGTGGGTTCGGGGGGTGGTTTTGGGGTGGCTGGGGCGGGGGTTTGGGTTTTGGGAAAGTTTCTGGTGATTTTTGGTGATTTGGAAAGATGGGGGAAGATTTTTGGGGATTTGGAGGGTTTGGAAAGATTTGGAGGGGTTTGGAGGGATTTTGAAGGGTGGAATGATTTCTGGTGATTTTTACCGCTATGTGACGCCTTTGGTGAGCATTGGGATGGTTTTTTATTTTTCGAAAAGCGGAAATGCATTGCCATGTTGGTAAAGCCCACTCAAAGCCATGTCAAACATGGCAGAGGGCACTTACACGGTGCCTATCATTTTTTCGTCCTTGAGCCTGTGTGTAAAGTTGTCATGTGAATATTGATGATAACACGAAGCCTAAGACGGTCTGAAAAACAATAATCTGTTTAGATATCCCCTGATTGGCTTTAAAAGTTTTGCCAGTTTTGGTGCAAGGGGGGGAAATAAAAACACACACATCGTTGACTTCACCACCTCCATGCTTCCCTGGCAACTTCATGGAAACCCTCAAGAAGTTTCATCAAAGTTTCCGAACCCCAAAAAATGCATTCTAAACCCCAAAAAATGGATTTTCAGCACCAACTTTTCACCAAAAAAATGAAATTTGACACCAAAAAAGGGGTTTTCCAACACCAGCTAGTCGATGCACAAAAAATGGCCAGACACCAGGTTTGCACCAGTCGTGCACCACCCCCCCCCCAAGCACCAAAACTGGCCAAACGTTTTAAGCCAGCCAGGGGCTTGGCAAAGTCGATGCATTTAGGTGTATTTAGGTTTTCAGCACAGGTCTCGGGGACACCATCTGAGGTCCACAATTGTTTTTCTGACTTTTTGGAATGATAATGCTCCTTTTTTAGGCAGCAGCTCACGCGCTGCGGGGCAAGCACATGTCCTAGGTAGGTGGACCACGGCTTATAGACGGCCGTGGGTTTTGGGGAGTTTTGGGGGGGTTTGGGGGTGGTTTTGGGTGGGCTGATAACGTTCTTGGCTGCCCGCCTTACAAAATATTCTCTTGGACTTGCTGCTACGCTATCCACTCTCTTGCACCGTACCCTGGCACACGTTATCACCTTCTTCTTGTAACTTGCAAGACACTCTTGATGTTTGCATTGTTGTTTCTTGGGGGGGGTTTTGGGGGGGGCTGATAACGTTCTTGGCTGCCCGCCTTACAAGATATTCTCTTGGACTTGCTGCTACGCTATCCACTCTTCTCCTACCCTGTATCAACTTCTTCTTGTAACTTGCCACTCTTGGCATTGTTGTTTCACTGATAACATCAACTTCTTCTTGTAACTTGCAATGCTTGCAAGACACTCTTGATGTTTGCATTGTTGTTTCTTGGGGGGGGTTTTGGGGGGGGCTGATAACGTTCTTGGCTGGCCGTCTTCTTACTTGCAACATTGGCAATGCGTACACTCAAAGCTTGGCTACCCCAAAAATTGAAGACATACGAAAAGAGAAATGGCCATCACAAAATGGGTCAAGGTTTGCATTCAATGATCCAGCAATGGATGTGGCGTCAATTCATCCACTGAAACAAATAGTTTGACTGCATTGCAAAATGACTAAAAAACATATTTTTCCCCATCTAATTACGAGATGAAGCCGCTTTAACCAATGGCACGGCTGCGTGAAAGATCCAAAATGAACTGGAATGCTCTGACCACTGTAAATCAGCAGAAAAACAAGTGCTCAGCATTGCTGATGTGCTGAATTCCTCACGGCCGCCTGTGAGCCGTGTACCTAGTTAGGTTGTATGGCCTACCAACGACCGTGTAAGATCAACTAGGACCTACGCGAGTCAAAATCGTTGAACATCGTTGAATCATTGAAGAAAACGAGTAAAAGAATGTTGCCACGAAAGCTTGATACAGTGGTCTCGTGCACAAGAACCAGGGCGCGGAGGAGTAAAAGATCCAAAGCACAAAACCAATGCGAGGGGTTCCTATTGGTGACGCGTGATGCATAAGCTACACCCTGAACATGCCAAATGATTGCCACTGGCACCACCAGCACGCCCATTGTTCTTTCTCGAATGCACTACCCTTTGTGAGCTGAACAGCTAACAATACCTGAAGAGTACCTAAAAGAGTAGCTAAAGAATCCCCAAAGTGTCCTGAGTCCTGAGTCTGCTCACTGCCATTTGTTGCCGACAACTCTCCGGCGAAACTGTAAAGTGTGCTTTGTCCAAACCGATCCAACCGACCCATATGATGGGTAGGACACTCTATCAGCATACAAACATCACAATGGAGGCGGTGCTCCCTTGGGACTGGTACTGAGAAGGTCTCTTCCAACTCGAATGCAGTATGGCCGGCCCAGATCCTGAACCAGATGTGACCCATCCACCATGGTCCACCATGAATTTAGCCGAAAATATTGGAACAATCTGAACCTAAGGAACCATAAGGAACCCAAAATCCAGTAGTTTATCAAGCAACATGCCATTGTGATCCATTTTGATGAATTTTGAGGCTTCTTTTCAAGCATGACCGGTCGCTCCTGGGCCGCTTCGGCAATCAGTCCTGACACAAGAACCATGGAGCCTTTAGGCCTCTGCCAGCAATATCAACCACAGATTAATGCTAACCCCTGGTTGGTGGGTACCATTTCAGAAGCAGACTGGCATTATCGGGGATTGCGGATATCCCTCTAGTTAATCAAGCGGGTACATTAATCATCATTAATCCGGGGTTGACATTGTTGCTTTATCTGGATTCACTATCATTACTTCCTGCCTGCTAGATGAAGCGTTCCCCGACTTTCCTCTGCATTGTCCTGATTTGACGTTAGCGCCACTGCACCTGCTCCTCATGCAACACCTCAAACTGAGATGCTGACTTCCAGGAATGCCGGCGGCGAGACAAAGTATCGAATGCAATCCTCCATTAGGGCCACAAAAGTGTTCATTTCAGCACTGTGGGCCAGGGCGGCCAGGTGCAAAAGTGCAGTCTGAACTGTCAAACCTTCACTTCATCCAGCACTTCTCAGCAGTCCTCTTCCATTACAAAGAATCGCTCTGACCACTCTTTGCGCCATCGACTTTGCTTCTCTAACATGCCCGCCAGTCTCTGTCTGTCAGCCATCGCGAAGCACTGATGTTGTGGCTGTTGGGTGGTTAGGCGGTAGCGTGGGGAGTTCGAACACGGCAAGGGCAGCCTTCAATCACCATGGCAAGGGCCGGCTGTCACGGTCCGGCCTCTCAGCCGCATTGGCTGATTTTCGATGGAAAATGAATGGCCTTCAGGGTTGCTCAAAACATTTGTCACAAGCTATCAAGGTCCATCTCAAATCGTGTATATAATTGTAACCTTAAACTGGCTAGCACTCCTTCACTGTGGCCGGTATGTCTGCAATTAAAGAACTGGAATTGAGGTTAATACACCAACTTTCCAGCACTTCCCAGTTCACCAGTTATACCATACTTGCTCGAGCCAGCGTACAAAACGTTGAGCTGCTTTCAAGCCACAACTCTGTGCTAATCTATACGCAGTCGCTCTATAACCCAGCTCTTTGGCACAGTCGCTCATACATACACCATACACGGTGAAGCAAAAAGTTTTTTCATAGCGGCCGCGTCTGGATGAAACTGCACACATCACCAAACCAAGCAGCTTTCGCCACAGTGTGAGATCATTTCTGCCAGCGTCAAGCAGTGGCAGGTGCTGGAATGGCAGCACGCTGGAGCATTTTGCAGCGTGTTGCAGTGGCAAAGATTTGAATTCCGATTTCATGACACCAGGAGCCACTATCCAGCATGGCCGCTCTTTTTCATACCAAAGCTTGGAAATCCAAGCTTCTGGAAATTCTTTTTCATGTCACCTGAAATCTTTTTCAAATCCTCAGAGGCTTTGGCACCTTTGTTCAAAGCATCTCCCAAATAGTTCATTGTAGAGCCAATCGATGGAACCTTCAGGCAAGTGATCTCTGACCCCTAAGGCAATCCGTTGAGAACCATCACCTCTTACCACCTCTCATCGTTTCAGTTTCAGTTTGAACTCTTGGCCCTGCACCCCGGCAGCTGCTGCAATCCGGTCTGCTTCATGGCGGAACTGTTGCTCCATTGAGCCTAGCAGCACATTGGCACATTGCATCAAGCCTTTGGCCTTTGCCTAATAAGTTTTAATAAGTGTTGAGCAACAACGCTCTTGCTCCCTTGTCCTGTGGGATTCATGACACGCCAAGGATTTTGCTTAGCCATGGCCTGAAGAGGAAGCATCGCCGGAATCTCCTAGCACCGGTGAGGAGGCCGTGCTTTTTACCGTAAATAGTCGCAACTCCCCTACCCCCTCTGCTATCATTTCACCAAAATTGAGCAAAGGTTTGCTTGGAAAAACATGGGCCTAGAGGCCTAGAGGCCTAGCAGCTGTTTTCATTTCATCTGAACAACTCTAAAACGTCTGAACATTCTGAACTTGGAATGGTCGCCACAGTGCATCCCAGCCTGCACGAAGAGCCAGCAGCTGCTGTACCACGGGATCATCCGACGAATCGCCCAACATCCCTGTGATCGATGCTGCATCGACATCCGGCGAGCTCAAGACCTTGAGCATGATCTCTGCTTTGCCCATCTCCCGCCTTGACAAGGAAGCTGAAAAACAATGAAAAACAATTTAATGCTCTAATATGATTAATACATATTAATACGCAATCCGCAATCCTTGTAAGTTTGTACTTGCAAGGTGACATGACAGGAAAAATATGTGGATCCCAAGCCATTAGGCCAAGATTCAGGACGTAGTTGCTATAGGCTGTAGGCATTTGCCTGCCATGTCCAGCCACAACAGGTGCCTCAAGCAGGGTTGTCTTGATCAGCGCCGTGTCTAAAAGAAGTTGCTGCGCTCCTCGTTCGCTGATCTTCCGACATTTGTGAACTTCAGCCACGAATCTAGTCACGAAGGACTGCACAAACTTATCGCAGAAAAAACGGTAGTGAATCTTCGACAAGTGCGCCGCGATCGGTTCGAATTGCTTCGGCAAACGTTCGGAAATATCCCCAACGAATGCACTGTGATCACCTACGTCCTCCAGGGCGCGTGCAGTCAAGCACATTCATAACCCTTGCTGGCATGTCCTATGACCGCTCCTCCCAGTCAACCCAAATTCACTGTACAAAATTAATTCAAATGCTTGACAACGGGAAATGCCAAGGTTTCAACACCAGGATCCTGAGAAAATGCTGCCCAATTCGTTCGATTCATGCTATTGAAGGCATCATCCAGGCTGCAATTGACTGATTGGACCAGGGCTTCATTCGCACGATTGACCACACTTCTCAGCAACTCTTGCTCATCGTGGAAACCTTGGTAACTTCAAATGGAGGAGTCCTGTGAACACCACTGGGGACTCAGGCGTGTTCAAAATCTGGATGGCAGGGGTAAAACAACGTTATTATACGCCATCAACGGCTATCAATGCTGGCATATCAGAAAGCACCTCCTGAATGTCAACAACCCGTTTGGAGAGCAATACCCAGGGAGTACTTGGTTGAAAATAACGGGAAGGAAAGGTGTTTGCCTTGCATGACTTTCTTTGGGCAAGTCAGATGTACCTTGACTTCACCTAGCCTGAAAACCAAATACCAGAAATACCCTGTTGCACTCCGACTTGGGTCTTAAAGTTGTCACTAAACTGAGACAGTAATCAAGACTCTATCATTGCCCAGCTCGTGATTCCCCAACAAATGCCCTCTTTCTGGCATCACTGCGTGTCCCAACGTAACATGGACACATGATTATTGAGAAGAATGAGGTCACATGTTTCCACCTTTCGCAACTGCAGTTGCACGATGCGATGCATTTTTGGAGAGAAATCAGGCACGAACTGCACAGCTGTCTCTTCCTTTCGACTTCTGCAACATTCTCAAATTACGTTCAACAAAAACGGCAACAACAACATCATCACCACCATCATCATCAGCATCATCATCATCAGAATCGTCATCAGAACGGTTTGCAAGAAGAACCAGCGACGGACAAATCTGCTGATAGCTACTGATGGATTTAGTCGCGTCTTCATGCATTGATTCTGTGAGTCTTTGGTCCATTGATTGATTCTTACTACTTGGTTCGAGAGTTAAACGTTACAACTGGTCGCATTACTTGTCCATCGATCAATCGATCGGTTTGTTGATTTGGTGACTGATCAAGAAGAGGTGAGTGGCGAGTAGAGGGTTCGATTCGGTTGGATACTACAGATTTTGATTGAGCCTGCCCTCTTATCTGTCCGTTTGTCAGAACATCCATCTCTGTCTGTCCTCCATTCTTACTTCTACTTGTCTGTCGTCCATTCTTACTTCTACTTGTCCATTCGTGCGAATGCCCTATCGGGGGTGATACACGATGTGCCTGACATGACAGCAAAGCTCAGTGTTTTTATACACAAAAATGTGCGTGTGTATATACATTTAACCATATATTAATATTGTGACACTGGCTGCATACAAGAATTTGAGACACGCGACTCCTACCCACAAGTGTATTTCAATACTGGCTGATAGACAGACGGACAATGGAAGACTGAGCAAGGAGCCGATGCGATCTTGAAAGTCTGCGCTGATGATTTTGATCAATGACTCTTCCAGCAATGGGAGCGTTTCATCGCAGTATTCAGCAGTCCCAATTGCGCAGCAAACAGCCTGCACTCCCTCTACGTCCAAGCATGCTTTGTGGCCTGCTGCAGGGATCAGGCTTGACAGTTTGCTGGCATACTGACTCATAACTTTGCGGAATACCTGGAAAATGTCGAAAAGAGTGTTGTGAGTAGAAAAGCGGGAGCACTCTTGCATGCTTCCTCTCATAGCTGCAAACAGTTCTGGCGCTGACTTGTACAAGTACCTCTGCAAGACTTCTTCATCTTCCTCGTTTTCTTCGTTCTCTTGACTAACCATCTTGTCGGCGGCAGTCAATGCTTGCAAAACTTCCAAGAGTTGCTTTTCTTCATGCCTTACCCAAGTTCCCAAATAAGCATCAAAGCATTCACTAATGATTCCACGGAAACGTGGAGCAAAATGATCTGCTCCAGCTTTTTCAGTGGCTGCTTCTGTTTGCGAGGAAGTTGAAGACCTTCTGCCAGTTTTAGCCGCCAATACATCTGGATACTTCAGAACTGGCATTGCGGAGTTCAGATGTCCCGCGTCCAAAGTGATTGCATCATCATCTGGAGTCTCTGTGGCCCATTTTCGTGCCAATTCATTTTCGAATTCAATGGATTTAAGGAGGACCCGGACCATGAGCTCAGGGTCAACCATATGGTGGGTTGTGTCAAGAATTTCAACCAAATGCTGCCTTGTGACATGACAAAAAAGGTCACAAAGCCCACAAGGGACCCGCCATGATTCCGGGAACTGTGACTTGTACTTGTCATCATATTCACGCAGTGTTCGCTTCAACCAAGCAAAGCGGCGTTCTGCGGTTTCTAATCCTGAAGCCTCTTTCGGCGGCTGAAAAATGTCTTTGTAACCTTCTAAGAGTCTCAAACAGAACTGGGTTACAACTTCTCTCTTCATTCCGGGCCCGATTGCATCTACACACTTGGCTGCAGCAGTGCCCCAACCTTCTGGCAACTGTTCCAGGCGAGTCGCACTTCCAATGCCACCATGCAAGCACATGTAGTCGTCCAGTATTTGCTGTTTTAAGTCACTGAATACTGCCGCCTTCCTTTCTAAGAGGTCTGCTACACGTGCAACGTGCGACAACTCTTGGAAGTGACTGGACAGTTCCTCGACTGCATAAATCAAAGACGATGCCTGCTGGTAGTGTCTGCATTCAGCAGTTGAACGGAGCTGTTCCAGTGCCGTCACCAACATGACCAGCCGCTTCAAAACAGTCACAGTCAGGGTCAAGTTGCGCTTTGCAACGTCCAGCGACTTGATATCGCGACAAACGTCACTGACGAGTTCTTCACTTTGTTCAGCCTTGGATTTGATTGCCTTGATACGCTCAAAGAGCTCTCGAATTGCCAGTTTCGCGTCTCCGAGGTCAGCTTTCGCACGGCGACCAAAGGCTGCTTGTCTTCTCACGGCATTTTTGATCCCCTCTTCAATGTCATGCTCCTGTGCCTTGAGCTGATTTATGAAGAGACCAAGTCCACCAAGTGAAGCTTCGTTGGGAAACTGCCGATTGATATAATCAATGGCATTAAAATTCTCTGCATCAAGGGGGTCCTCTTCACCCAGGGGTTCAAAGTCATCTTCCAAGTCATCATCCATTGCAAACAAATGAACCGCACCTGATGTGCACAACAGACTTTGAGATAAAATCCAACGGGTGCAAATCACGTCAAACCTTGCTGGTCAGTGAAGGCAGTGCTTGCGGAGACCAACATGCAAACACATCATATTCTCTATCTCTGTCTCGCTCTTCCTCTCGCTCTCTCAAATCCTCATGCACCATGACAAACACACATACAAATCACATGATGCACAGCCGTGGTAAAGAACTAAACTTATCAATTGGACGTATTTCGAAATCATGCGCATTGCAATGCACAACTGTGCAGTAAACAAAACGCACAAGGCTCGAAACGCATTCTATCGTAAAGGTATGAGCTTTCCAAACTTGTCCAGGTGGACAGATCCGCGCAAGGTGGCTGAGTGGAGGATGGGACGAAAGATGAATAACACGTCAATGATGGAGTTGAGTTTTGGTGATGGAGTATTGATAGATAGATATATTTTAAAAAAATACGATATTTATATATACTTTCATTTATATTCATATATACCTTCTATATATATATATACACATACGTATAGACGATATTGAAGCTGTTGGGGGGATCGTTTAGTTGAGCTGTGCATGCTGGGAAAGAGATTGGGTCTGTGAATAAGAATGACTGAGTGAGTTAGTGTTTGCGAAATTGCCTCGGAAATTCTCTGTGAGCAGTGAGCAGCCGTCTTAAAAAGTGTTTGCCGGAGAAAGTAATTGGTGACTCCGTGACAAGAGTGAATCGTTGAGCACATCCTTGTATATTTGAGTTGAGTGTCGGCTGGTGAATGATGGAGTGAAGGTGCAAGTGATTTGTGCAGCGCACTACCAAAGACAGAACACGACACCTTGTGCCAGCACTCCGGCAGGTCTAGTAGCAGGAACATGTAGCAGCGGTACAGCATTGACCTTGAATCGCGTGATGAGCAACAGATATATATATATATACATATATATATATAGATAGATAGATAGATGGTCTTGATTATTGCAGCGATTCGACACCTCAGCGACTCAGCGTTACAAAATATTCCACTCACTGACAAAAAGCAGCAAGAAAACCAAGCTAAGCAACTCCTCTGCTATTCTATTGCATCTCAAGGGCGGACATATCAAGGTGCACTCGCTACAAGCTGGCGTTAAAGGTGCCAAAATCTAGCTCTGCAAGTTGCTCTTGAACATTTGGAATCCGCGAACGCACTCCACCTTCATTTCGAAGCATTCTGCCTGAAATCCTACTGGTGTGAAACCAACTCGCAACAGCTATTAAGGCTGCTTCCAGAACTCCTCCTTCAAAGTCCAGTATCCAGGAACGTTTTTCTGCGCAGACTTGGTCAGACTACACATTTGCTTGAGGAGGGTCTTGAAAAGATCATGGTGATGAGCTGCGACATGGACTGCTAGCTTCTCTAGCACTTGTCCTGTTGTGAGGCGATGATCCGGACCTGCAAGTTTCTTGTCCAGAAATGCACGTAAAATATCTTCAGCGATGCGGCGATCTGACTCAAACAGCTCTGATGACGCTGGCTCATCGGCCCCTTGACTCGAAGCTCCTCTCATTGCAGCCAACTGCCTGAGACCATGTAAAATCTCAGAAGAAGAAACTCCTCCGGAGACCTTTCCAGATGTTAGAGCCAGCTGTGACAGCTTGCCTTTCGTCTTGGTTTCTGCTTCTTTCATTTCTTTCTTCACTGCAGTCTGAACCGCGCCTGCCCTTCCCTGTTGTCCGGTCCAGGTGGGCTCACTGATGTGGTGTGCTGCTCTTTCGCGTGACGACCTTTTCAGCGCGTCCAACGCCTTCTGAGCAACAAGGCCTGCACTCTTGCCAACCAATTTTCTGTCAAGCAGAGTTTGCTCAACCTTGTCATGGTTGAAACTTGCCTTGATGCCTTGCGCATCATACAAAGTCTGCAAGATTGCATTGCTTTCATCTGCAGTTCCTCTCCCTGTCTTGTGCTGCTCCTTCATGGGCAGGTCTGACACGGCTTTCATGATTTCGGTGGTTTCGACCTCAAATTCATCTGGCTGAAATGGGTCTTTCGTTTGCACGACCTTGTTGAAAAGTGCTTTGTATTTTTTCTGCAAGGTCAACATGTTTTGCTTGGTGAAGTTTGGAGGTGGAGGAGGCACTTCAAACAGGTCTGAAATGTCATTCCACTTGAAGAAACGCCTCTGCCTTGGATCCTGGAGCACTTTCTGTGCCAAAAAATGCTTGTAAACCTGGCGATGATAAATCTTTTCCTCCACCGTGCCAGTCAAAACAAGGCGGTAAACTGACACCTCCCGAGTTTGTCCAATTCTCCAAGCTCTCTCACGTGCTTGCACGTCTGTCATCGGGTTCCAGTCTGGATCGAAAATCACAACTCGATCAGCCCCAATGATGTTTAATCCCACTCCCCCAACCCGGGTCGTGAGAAGCATGGCGAACACGTCTTCGTTTTCATTGAACTCCTCAATCAGCTTTAACCTGCGCTTCACGGGTGTTTTACCATCAATACGAAAATGTGTGTAGCCAACACGGCTCATCCACAATTCAAGGATCTCCAGCATCTGGATCGTCTGGACAAAAATAAGAGTTCTGTGCCGATCTTTGTGCCACACCTTAAGGATCTCAGACAAGACCCTCATCTTCCCTGATTTGTCATAGCTCCACAAATCCTCACCTTCTTCTCCCTCGTTCGCTTTGAGGAGCAAATCTGGGTGGTTGCAGAGCTTCCGCAAGACACTGAGAGCGAAAAAAACTGCCCCAAGAACTTGGCGGTCTGATGATACCGTCTTCGCTCTTCTCACCTGCTCAGTCTCCAAGAACTGCACATACAATTGGTACTGTTCAGGTGTGAGATGGCAAAACAGGACCTGTTCCTGTTTGGCTGGTAGGTGTAGCACATCCATACATTCGGCCTTGGTACGTCTGAGAATACAGGGCTCCGTTAGCCCGCGTAAAGCCAGGGCACATTGGTAGGCTGCAGCAACCTTGGGCTCCGTAGCTCCCATGACATTGCCGTTCTCAATGGGCTGGGCGAACTCTTCTGTGAAGACTGGAAGTGTACCCAGCCGACCAGGACAAACAAAGTCAAAGAGTGACCACAGTTCGCGAAGATTGTTCTGGATTGGCGACCCTGACAGCAGAATGCGGTGTGTCGTGCTAAAGCGCTTGCAGGCGATTGTAAGGCTGGCATGAGGGTTGCGGATCTTCTGCCCTTCGTCCAGAATCACAATCACCCAGGTTGCTTCAAGCAATGCATCTATTGAAATCCTCATCGTCTCGTACGATGTAATGAGAATGCCTTGGTTGGAAGATGCTTGTTTGATCGCCTCTCTTCTTTCTGTCTCGATAAGCTGGTGCATAACGCACACACGCAGAGGCGGGTACCACAAGTGCAATTCATTGCGCCACTGATTGATTAAAGTTGCTGGGCACACAATCAGAACACCCCCAGTTCTTGGAGGGCTGGCAGAGGAGAGCGAGGTATTCTGTATTTTCAATTCCTGCAGAACATTTGAATGATGCAATACAGCCAGATATGCTATGATCTGTATTGTCTTTCCTAGGCCCATCTCATCTGCAAGGATGCCACCCATCTTCTCCTGGTGCAAGCCCCAAAGCCACTGCACACAGCGATGTTGGTATGGATACAGGGCTTGCCACAGCCACTTTGGACTTCGCAGACCATTGCCAATGTCGACATCATCTCCTTTGTGAACCTCTGCATGCCGCCGCAACATTTGGGGCACTTTCTCCAGTTCCTCTTTGACCGGAAATTCTGCTGGGTCTTTCTTGGCCTTTGAAGACTGGGGCTGCCCCTGGGTCCACCTGGCCTGCCGCTGCAAGTAGACCTTTTCATTGGTGTCATCACGTCTGTTCCGCGGCTTCTTTTCGGACGCGGGAGCACTGTCCAACTTTCGTTTCCGCGAGGAAAAGTGATGAAGGGAGAGCAAGTTCTGTGCTGGTGATACCAGTTCTCCTTGCTGAATCATCGCTTTCCATTCTGCAGGATTGTTGTCCTTCCATTGATGTTGCGTCCTCCCTGCTTTTGGTCTGAGTTGGGTGACATCAATGCGGTCAGGAAGTGGAAGCGTTGCAGCTTCGGATGCCTCTTCCTTTGGAGCGATATCTTTGGTCTCTGGCTTGGGCGAGATGTCTTTCGAACTTTGAGAGGGTTTCTTGGCCGTAACAAAGCCCAAGGACTCTTTCAGAAGTCCCTGATTTGTAGACCAACTCTTTACCTCTCTTGACATCGATTGGTTCTTCCTGGCTTGGGAAGGTTGTGATGAATTCGTTCCTGCCATCTCCACCATGGCCACTGCTGCGAATGCATTTGCCACCGCCTGCGTGCATCTTGAGAATCCAATCCAGAATTATCACTGGTAAATCCTCTGGAAATCAATTATAATAATTGTATATTTTATATTATTTTATACCGTAAATTCATGTATACGTGGACGTCAACGCGGGTCATAGCTGGGTTAGATTACCAAAGAGTATTGCCAGGGGTGGGGGTTATACAGGCTCGTACCATTCCATCAAACAAACTCCTGATCATGTCATTCGCCAACACATCTTCACATTTGCTTGGTTCATTCAACACATCCTTTCCTAGTTGCTCATCCGGCTGTTGGCTGTTGAACAGAATCACACCAGGTCTAAACAGATGCGCCCCCATTTGGATGACGTATCTGGCTGGATCACCACGTGGCTGCTTCATTTGAAAGTGTCTGATGAGATCTCACTGCAATTCTAGGTCCATTGGGCTACCAAAGCGGTTGTTACTTGTTGTGAGCAGTGTCTGGGATTTCTTGGGGTGCCGTTCTTCCAACAGCAGCGTCTCCACAATTTGCGGAGAGTGTTTTGTAAGTTTCAAGAGATATATATATATATATGTATGTATGTATGTATGTATGTATGTATGTACAGAAGCATTTCTTCCGGGAAGTTTCACGGTAGATGCAGTAGATTGCAGTAGGGTTTCACCAGGTGCTGAGACAACCCAGGAGGTTTGGGGACTGTCCAGGATAAAGTAGTGTGGATCATGCAAAGACCTCGGAACAATCGACACTATCTAGATGAATAGCTGTGCGTCCATTTGCTTCCAAAACAGCACCCCCAAAATGATTCTAATCTATCTATATCTATCTTTCTTTCTTTCTATTCCATTCCATTCCATTCCATGCCGCATGACATGCCATGCCATTCCATTCCATTCCACCTTCTCTTCTATTGTATATCTGTCTATCTATGGCATCAGGTTTCAAGTTAAGTTTCTTCACCACTTCAGTTTTGCAGCTCTTTGCTCCCTGCCAGCGCTTCCAGCCTCATTCATGTCTCCACATTCTGATTCTTTGCCGTCGTCTAAGTCAAAGGTGAGGTTCTGGGAGCTCAGGCGCCCCCAGGGGCCCCAGTGCCCGGCACTTTGTTCAGGCACCTCACTCAATTGTTGGTTCAGGTTCTCGGTTGGTTGCATAACATCTGACGTGCTCAAAGCATCCAAGGCATCCAAGGCATCAGCATCCAAATGCTGAGGATCCTTCCGTGACTTTGCGAATTTTGCTAGCTCAATCTGCTCCAGTTTGGCATCGCAAGTGTCAACCACCAAGTTTTCCACATCAGCGGCGTCACAAACGTCTAAGCCAAGTGCACGGAACATCGAGCTTTCGGACGCGACGGAGCCTGCATCTGCAACTGTGCCGTTGCCACCGAGGTCCACCGGAAAACTTGAAGCATCTGCACCAATTACACCATTTGGACCTATCAGCTCCACTTCCATGGCAAAATGTAAAGGTTTCGCGACTGCGGGTAGAAACAGAATCAAATCAGAAGCAAGTCCGTGAGTACAAAAGATGTTTGACTATAACATTCTTTGGCCTACACACTTTAGCCTTATATATAAAGTGCTCGTCAAACATATCATCTGGGCACAAGTGTATGGGTGCGGGTAGGTCTACGGGTGCGGGTAGGTCGATTTGGGAATTCTGGTCACCCCATCTTGTCTCTGTCCTATCCTTCCATTACATAGCAGTGAGCCAAACCTGCAAAAATTCAGCCGGTGCATGTACTTGGAGAATCTTGCAATGGGATTCCAGGCCTACATGGCATGAGATTGCAATGGAACGCACTGTTTCAGCCATACTGTGGCCATTTTGCAAGGCGCAATCTGGTCAAGACTGCAAGAGCAGGACAATTAAAAATGATTCCAGGCACCGAACCCCATGGCTTTCTTAGTTGGGCCATTTGGGGCTTCGCCTTTCTGACTGGGTGCCCCTCTATCTTCAAATTCTCACCGAAGTGTGGCAGTAGGCAATTGTAGGCCACGGTAGGCTGCAGCCTTTGAGGGATGAAACAGGAAAATTGTGCTGTAGTTCAAGCTTAGCATGCCACATCAGCTTCCTCATACATCGAAAAAACATCTTTGCAAATCCTCTCTATGTCGGCTTCTTCTAGTGGAGCCTCTCCGTGGATGTCTTTTTGTGACGATGCGTCATCTGTTGTGCACACCATGCGCCATGTTCCAGTGCAAAGCCGGAGCATGGGGGCAAACATCTGAAGTGCAAGTTCAAACTCCCTAGGGTCATATCTTTTGCCTGCATTCATTGCTCTTTTCTGTCCCCGTTCCACTATTGTTGCCTTGTTCCCGAAGACGCCCACGATGTGAATTTCGTAGCCAGCCTGCACCAGATCTTCTGCGACATCAACGCATTGAGATCGTCGGAGGCAAGTACTGGGAATCATCAAATGCTTCCCATCATTTCTGGCTCGCTCAAGAAGGAGCTGCTTCTCCTCGTTGATGTTTTCTCGAATGCCTAAGTAGGCATTCCACCAAACGCATCCGTGTTGCTGCCCTTCTGTAATTGCATTTTGATAGCCATGATGCGCATCGCGGAAGACTTCGCCATCGATGGTCACATAACCCTCAACATCCATCCCTGTCCACTGTGCTGCTTTGGGTGCAAGGGTGGACTTGCCACAGGCACTTGGGCCAATTAACCACATTGCAGCCTTCTTTCTCGCCCTTTTTGCTGAATAGTATCCACTTGCGACATATGCCGCGTGAAGTTCTTCTTCAGTGAAAGGCTCGCTGATTTCTGTTGACAGGCTTTCACCCATGTCATAACCAATCAACTCACAAATGGCATCATCACCAGAAGCAGCATCTTCATCCAATGAATCATCGGCTTTTGACGAATCTATGGTTTTTGGAAAATAGTGCGGCAAATCATTTCTGCCCTCCTCGTTGCATGAGACTGAGGTTCTGCTTTTCCTAGCCGATCTCCATGATCTGCGGTGCAGCTGAGCACCGATTGAAATGCAAAAGCCTCGCCACATGTCTGGCGTGCGCCACCTGGACCTAGAAGACTCCGAAGAGTGGCCATCCCTTCCTATAGTTCTGGTTCTCAATGAACTCGGAACTGCAAGGTGGACAGCTCCAAGAGCGGTCGCAGTGCATGGCTCCATTTGGGCAAAAGAAAGGATTGCGTTTCGTTGCTGAATTGGCACAGTGTATCTCTGTATTACTCTGCATCTGTATGTCTCGTCCTGTTTGCAGTACATACATGCTGTGACTGGTGCGGCTCATTCCCACGTCGCCGAATATGTCAAGTGCCACGTGCAGTGTTAAACGCTGTAGGCGAATGTATGCAGTCTTGCGCCGCTCTTATCTAAATTCAACTTAAGGCTTGCGAGTGGTTTGGTTAGAACCTGTGAATCGAGCAAATGCTCAATCTAACACCCAATCAAATTCGGGCAGAAACACTGCATGCGTGAACACCACAAAACATCACAAAACTACACCCTTTGAAGTTCGGCCACAGAGAGCAATGACTTGGGAAATTTTGGGAAACTGTCGTGACTCTCTTTACTGTCTCTCCTTACCGATTTCTTTTCCGCCCTTCGAGTGCTCCAGCTTCGGCACCGCGGGCCATCATCTGGAGCGGCTGCGTGAAGCAGCTCGGTTTTTCCTTCGCAACATGCGGCACCGGAGGAGAGAAAGCCCCCTTTGGAATCAAACATGGCTGGGGAAATACGCTACAAATGGCTATTGTATGCCATTTACGGGAAATATAATTCCGAACAAAATGGTGGTTTTCCTTTGCCATGTTTGACTATCAGGTGAGTACTTCTGCATGGAGCACCATGTTCGCAGAACACATTGGAAAACACATGACATGCAGTGTCAAACTGGAAGCAGGCACTCTGTCCTCTTGAGTCTCTCCAACGCTGCCTTTTGCTTGTCGCCACTCGTGGCTCCTAGTAAACTAGTAGAAAGGTTGTACAACATAGAAGGACCAACGGTCACCAACATGATTAACACTGTTCGCCCAAGCACACTTAATTAATGATCAGTAGTATATGCTCTGGGTTTGCTCTGTTCCTCTTTAAGGGATTACTCAGTCAAGGAATTCGGGAAGTGGCAACTGGAAAACGAGGGTAAGGTTTTCCATCGGATCTTTGCACGACAAGGGCCGCAGAAGTGACGGATGCGTTGCCTCCAAAATATTGTCATATTGTTATTGCTGATGGTAGTGCGCACTTCCAATTCCCTTGGACTTAAACAGCAATGAGTTGCCTTGGCTTAGGCGGATTGCGGCGTCTGGGAGTGGATGCTTCATGAGGAGCTTCCGATCTGACTGTGCAATGAAAGGGGCTGCTTCCTACGATACAACCTGCCTTACTTCCTGTTAGAAGAAAAGGGAAAATGGCACGAAAGTCAGAATTCTGGAGTAGCAAGATTTGCGCGCCCCGGGAGAAGCTGTGCAGGAAATGTGTGTGTCTCGGCCTTTGGTGATGCGCGGCATTTTCGCGCGAAAACGCGAAAACGCGAAAACGCGAAAACGGGCAGCAAAACGCGAAAACGCGAAAACCGCGAAAACCGCGAAAACGCGAAAACGGGCAGCAAAACGCGAAAACGCGAAAACGCGAAAACCGCGAAAACGCGAAAACGCGCACGGAAGTACAAGAACGCGAAAGTTGGACAGCTATGATCATCTCCGGATCTAGCGGCACGTCAATGCAAAATAATTATATTGCGCTGCAATAGCGGTGTTGATCTGTGTTGCACTGGGACTTCAAGTACAGAGTAGCGGAATGCAGGTTCATGTGATGTGAATGTTTTTTACGGTATCTATAGATCTATATTTCATTCTAGCCCTACCTACCTACCTAGCTAGCTAGCTAGCTACCTACCTACGTATCCATCCATCCATCCATCCATCCGTCCGTCCGTCCATCCAATCTATCTAATCTATCTAATTTATCTATCTATTGTAATCTATCTATCTAGTCCATCTGTTTTATCTAATCTATCCGATCTATCATATCCATCCATCCATCCATCCATCCATCCATCCATCCATCTATCTATCTATGTAAGCTATGTACCTAAGCTATGTATCTAAGCTATGTATCTCAGCTATGTATCTAAGCTATGTATCTAAGCTACGTATCTATGTATTGTTGTATCTATGTATCTGTGTATCCATGCATCTATCTCACTCTCTCTATCTCTCTATCTATCTCTCTATCTATCTATCTATCTATCTGCTATCTATCTGTCTATCTATCTATCTATCTCTATCTCTCTATCTATCTATCTGTCTATCTATCTATCTATCTGTATTTCCTCTATCGCTTGTCTAATCCTTCCCAACCTTTAATGTTCTGTCATCCAATCTACCTGTATTTAGTGTTCTTGTTATGCATCCGTGTTTTAATCAAAATTCGACGGACATATTCATGCATATTTATGTAGTCTGCATTTATGTTCTCATCTATGCTGGCATCTTTGTTTGTTTGTATGTATTTATTGAGGTGGTGCATTGCAATGCAAGCAAAAGGAAAAGTGGCAACATAATGAAACTTAACGGACTGCCTTTATGCCTGCAGGCACGTGTGCATGCATGTTTCGGACGTATGTATGCATGCATGTGTGTCTCTTTGCATCGATCTTTGTATCTATTTATGTAGCTGGCGCAGCGCGTTGTAACATGATGCATGTGATGTAATGCCTTGTAATTTCAACTCAACCAATATATAATATATTACATATATATATATTGCATAATTATACATAGTATACATAAATATATATTATACAAATATTTATATTATACATACATATATACATATTACATATATATATATATGGTTTACATATATATATATATTTATTTATATTATACACACATATATATATATATATATATATTATACATATATCTATTATACATATATTTATATTATACTAATATATATATATATATTTATACATATTACACACATATATTTATATGTATATATGGTTTACATATATATATATATATGTATATATACATATGTTATATATATATGTATATCATATATATATATACATATATCATATATATTTATATTATACATATATATATATATTACATATATATTTTACATATATACATATATATATTATACATTTATATACATGTATATATATATATAAAATACATATGTATATATACGATGTACATTCATTTACGGGGATACACATTTATGCATGTAATGCAACATATATGTGAGTGTGTTTGGATGCATGGATGAGTGTGTATAATGTGAAATCCAGCATTGCGGTGTCGTGTGGCGTCACGTAACACAAAATGTAATGCCGCACAACGAAGTGGGATGCATCTTTGTATGTATCTTTGTATGTGTACAGCTATGTATGTCTCTATGTAACTATGTATGTCTCTATGTATGTCTCTTTGTGTGTCTCTATGTATGTCTCTATGTATATCTCTATATATGTCTCTATGTATCTATGTATGTCTCTATGTATCTATGAATGTCTCTATGTGTGAACATTATGGAATGCCTTGCCATGAATCGGACGGTGAACACAACGAAAACATGCATGTACCGATGTATGTACGATTCTCACATGATCTACGTATATGAAATGCAGCGTAACATCATAGCATGTTGTGCATTTATGCGTCTATGAATCTCGGTATCTTTGGCGTGTGTGTTTGTGTAAGGATGTTTGCCATACATGTGTGCATATGCATCTATGCTAGATTCAGTGTATTTATGTATACATTCATATTTCTATGTATGTACCTATATGTGTGCGTTCCTGTTAGTACCCTTGGAATTACATCATTGCAATGCAGCGTAGTGTAACGCAATGGATTGTAATGCAGTGAAACATACTGTAGTGCAATGTAATGTAGTAGAATGTAGTTTGATGCAATGCAATGCAGGTAATCTAAGGTAAGGGCAGGAAACGAAATTAACATAATGTACTGCGTGTTTGTCCGTATGTGTTGTGTTGTAAAGTAACGTGGCGTAGCGTATTGTCTGTTTTGTATTGTGTTGTATTGTGCTGTACTCCTTTGTATTGTATTGCATGGGAGTGTCCTGTGATGTGTTCGAAATATGTTTTTGTATCTATCTTTCTGCCTATGTATGCACTTTTGTATCTGTGTATCATTTTGTATCTATGTATCTATGTGTTGATGTATGAGCAGATGGAGGGGTTGGTATGTGCACAAAAATGCAAGTACATGAACATGTAAGTGTAGTACGCATATTATGTGTATATATATATATAATTATATATATAGATTGTAAACGTAAAGGTAAGAGACATGTAACGTAAGTGTGTGTGTGTGTGCTTGCAAGTCTGCAAATGGCTGTTATGACAAGGAAACCGGCACTTCTCTATTTAGATTTCTGTTTGAAAATAGTATGGCATGGAAATATCAAAGGCGGAAATGCGAAAACAACAAGAACGGCGCAAGCAGCCAAAAAACAAAAACTGCGAAAACTGCGAAAACCGCGAAACACGAAAACCACGAAAATCGCGAAAACTGCGAGAACAGCGAAAACCGCGAAAACGCGAAACTCGCGAAAACCGCGAAAACTGCGAAAACCGCGAAACACGAAAACTACGAAAACCGCGAAACACGCAAAAACCACGAAAACTGCGCGAGCATTGAAAGCCGCGAAAACGCGAAAACCGCGACAACGCGAAAACCGCGAAAACGCGAAAACCGCGAAAACGCGAAAACCGCGAAAACCGCGAGAACAGGAAAACGCCGAGGAGACTAGCACTATTGGCCGCATTTCTCGGTTTTCTCCTTTTCTCGGTTTTCTCGGTTTTCTCGGTTTTCTCGGTTTTCTCGGTTTTCTGGTTTTCTCGGTTTTCTCGGTTTTCTGGTTTTCTCGGTTTTCTGGTTTTCTCGTTTCCTTGCATCTCATCGTCTTAGGCACGTCGCGTGGATTTCTTGCTTAGGGGAGAAGAGACCTATAGGAAAGCCAATGCCTAGACTACTACTTAGAAGATCTTAGAAGTAGCGGAGTTTAGGGGATGCAGCCATTAAAACACTCATGTTGGAGGGTAAGGCAGTACTCAGATTTCACAATATGTGATAGCCGGATAGCCCCTCCCCGTTCTAAGTTGTTCCCACTCTGATTCATCGCGGGTGAGTCTTGCGGCTGCTCCCTTCTCCTCGGCGCTTCTTGCGGCCAAACTCGTCCACATCTTCGTCATCCGAGTTCCATGCTTTCTTGGGTTCCTTGGGCCGGTGGAAGAAAATCATCCTTCACCACAAATCCTGAATAATATGGGTCAAATGTCATTAACCCAGCTTTGCAACCCAACAGCAGGTTCCTGCAGCATGTCGTTCCGGTTTTCGACGCCAACAAAAAACGCACCGCCATCCCCAACCCAGAGATTGAAACCCAACACTCTTGCTGTTGGGGATTTATAGCTCGGGTACAAAAATCGGCTATATAGAAGTATGGCAGTATGGCCCCAATCGTGATGCCGTGATGCACCCCCAAGTAACAACTTGAACCGACCTTGTCTTCAAGCGTAGCTCTCGCACGGCAACAGTAGGACAAAATCATGCAAAATCTAGAAGAGTTCGTCCTTGATGTCTGTGTCGGAAAATGCTGCCTGCAATTGCTATAGCTAGAAGAGTTCGGGTTTTAAGGCTCCTGAAGATCTAAAGTTATGCGAATAGATGTGCAGTAAGTAAGAGGTCAGTTCCTTTAAGCTAATATACTTTCGATGCATCGCTTCAAGGACCTCGACAGTACAGATGGCATATGGTTCAAGCTGTTCATTCACCAAGGATCGTCAGGGTCAGGGCGGTCAAAATGGCCACCAAGCCTTCCAGATCTACCTTCCGGAGACATGCTGATATCGACCCAACTTGGATTCTCTTTCTTACCTTGGAAGCTGCGAAGCTGCGAAGAGGAAACCGTAAAAAAAAAAACTATACCCAGCTAAGCTAAGCCCTAAAGTTCCAAGTAACGAGTTCATCCATTTTGTAAAAACACAAAATGAATAAAACACACAATGACTACTGCGACATAATTCAGGTGAATTCCACATAGAACTCTGCTCACCCTCTCGGGCGGTGTTTCGGTGGGAAAGAGAAAATCACCATGTTCGTGACCCATCCTTGGTACAAGCCAAGCAGAATCTGTCACACGCAAGGTTGAATCTGCCGCAGGGACGGCAAGTCCAGTCAGCATTGATATTTGCACCACAATCCTTCTTGCCAGTTCGCCAGTCAGGCATGACTTGATCCTTTGTTTGCGGAGGCCTCTCGGTAGAACATGACAGGCAGTTCTTCCGCTTTTTGAAATTCAACGTCTTGCAGTTAGGACATTTCCAATCTCTGGGATCATAAGTTCCAGGTGCCGGAGGACGATTTGTCATCAAGACGGAACTTTGCACCTGTCGGGGCACTTCGAGCCGAAAGCGTTGCGGAAAATGATTGCGGGCCCTTGCCTTCAATCAAACAACATGCTAAGCCACCTTGGTTGCCTTGGTTCACCACAATTGGAGAACCCACAGCACAACAAAAAGTAAAACTCAGTTTCCTGAAATGAACCCATTCCAACACTATTAAACTCATCAAACGTCAACAGAGGTGCTAAAAGACGTGGAACATAGACCAGTGACCAAGTCATGATATGCAACACAGCTGACCAAAGCGTGTTTTGAGCAACGGCACTCTGCATGCGCTGGATCTCCATGGCTGCGAGCATGCGCCGCTCATCTCAGGAAAGCACACCGGTAGCGAGGACTCCGACCACCCTGAAGCAGGGAGCTTCGCAAAACACGCTGTAAAAGAACCGGTCCGGTAAGTCTCAGTAAACCAACCAAATCGCAGAATATGTATGGCATGATGGAACCATCATGAACCATCTGGTGTCGATTTGCATTTGAAAACCACTGCTTCAAACTGCAGGTTTCAAAGCGTCACCTGGAATGGTTTGCCTGCAAGCTTTCGAAGCTAGAGACATATGTGAGTGCATTTCGTAAGACGTTTAGTCAGCCTGTGATCCAACAGCTTTCCCACTCTGTGATTTTGCTTTGAGACGGGGCAAGCACAGGGCATCAGTTTCTCACTCCTGTTGCCTATTCGCTGTTTTCCTGCAGGTTACAAAAATGGTCGGCAAGTGGCAGCCGGAAGAAATTGTAACGAAGTCTGTGATACTCTCTACTTTGTGCTTGGGCATACTTACTCAAATGTCTTGTAGTGCACTCCGTCTCTTCCATCATTGCAGAAATCGCATTGCTTATGGATCTTATGGTCTCCAGCATCCGTGTCTGCGCGGAGGTCACAAGTGGCAAGCTGGGGTCACGTAGGATTTGCGCCTCCGAATCCTTCAGGTCCCAGATTGAATGCACCCAGGGAGCACTGAGAATTGCGGAAGGGCAAGGTTCCAATCACATGTGTATAAATTTTGCATGTATCTCTATCTATAAATAAGCAAATAAATACATATATGTCTATTATGCATATGTATATATATATATATGTATATGCAAATGTATATTTACATTTACAGTAAATTTATTTATATATATATATATATGTTTTTTTTGCAATTGTGTATGTATGCAGTATGTGTGCAGTTATGTATGCGTGCATAACGTACAAAGGAAGGTGCCTCACCAAACAGTTGCAGCGGCCCCAGCGGAAAATGGAAAAGCGGAAAAAAACACAGACCAGTGACACATTGTAGACACGAACTCCAAAAGGCCCAAACTGGGGGGATGGGCGAAGGGAGCGAGAGAAAGAGAGAGAGAGAGAGAGGAGGAGCCATGTCACACCAGATAGCCACCGGACTTCATCCAAGTGACACTCTATAAATGCGTATGAATATATGTGTACATAATGTTAATGTATGTGTATATATATATACAACAAATATATACATCTAAATCGTTTCACAAGAAGATTTACTGTTCACTGGTTGCTTTCTTCTCAGCCCGAGATGCCCTGACAGAGAAAACATGAGAAAACCCAGCCCCGCCTCCGTCTCGGGTATGCCGCTGTCTGGATCCTTCGTGGCGAAAGGTCTCCAAAAGGTTTGTTTCTTTGAAGGCTTGTTGGTCCCCTGAGGGGTTGGAACATGGAGCAAATATTTGAGAAAGTTGTCTGGTGCAAGAAACACAACAAATTTTGTTTGAGATTCTGTAAACGAAACAAAAACGAAGGAAAGACAAGCATCGGCTGCTCCCACGAACACTGCAAGTTCTAGGAGATACTCGACCTCGCAGATGTCAAGAATGCCCAAGTGCTGAATCAACCTGAAGGGCAGAGTCATAAGTCACGAGTCCCAAGCGAAAAGAAACATTTGAAAACAGATAGATACAAAGCGCAAAGAGCTCAAAATCTGTGTCGGGCAACTCTGCTGCAGATGCAAATGGCTGACGTAGCAGCAACTGCAGCAATCTTGACAGCAAACATCGTAGAACCAACATGTTCAGTTGTCCCTTGGCGTTCACCCACGCACATGGAGCTACCAATCCAGCGGGGAGCAACCATCGCTCCAGCATGCTGTCGGCACCTAGTGCAGTGAAAAAGATGCAGGCAGCAGCTTCTTGGATAGATTCTTGGGGCAGCTTCATCTGAACGTATGGCAACAGCCAATGTCTTCCAAAGCCGTTTTGCTGAAATCTATGCAGTAGCTGGAGAAGCTCTTCACTTGGCCTCTTGTCAGCTTCATCAACGTGTTTGAGACAATATGGCGCAGCATTGCGTGCCAGTACCAGGCGAAAGTCCTCACCACAAGGAAAGGGAACAAGAAGCCTCAGATCCTCCAGGCATCTCAAAGCACTTTGGAAAGGGATGCGAGAAAATCCGCTACTTGCTGCTCGAGCTCGTGTATCTCGGGAATCTTTGGCTTTCGGGATTTTCTCTCGCTCATATGACTCGTACTTCTCTCTGAGCTCCGAAAGTGCGAGACCCGGCAGCAAGTCTCGGTCAGGGCTTGAAGCATCTGTCGCCTCTCCACTTTGAGAAAGGACGATGGTTTTGAATAAAAATGTTGCAGATTGCAACAAGTCATCAACGGCTACCTTTGTTCCTTGATTCGTCTGGCAGGACTCTTCTGCATACGCAGCAAACGCTGCACACATTGTTGAAACCTGAGCGGGCTTCCCAGACAATTTACATTCAACATCAGCCCCAGATTGCACACTATCAGCATCTGTACGTGCAACAGGTGCCTCATCTTCGCCATTGGACGGGTCCTCTTCATTCCCTTCATTCCCTTCATCCTCTTCATCCTCTTTCTCTGCTCCTTGAGTGACCCCTGATTGGCCCGAAGTGCAGTACTGCATTTGAGGGTTTATGGGTTCGTTCTCTCCGCTTATCTTGTTGAGCTCGTCCTGACTTAGAGACAAGGAATGCAAGAGGGCAGCGGCTTTGAGTCTGCGAGGATTGAAGTCCACAAGAACTGATTTCAGTGTTGGCTCCTCACTTGTCAACTGCAAATGTGACTGAACACCACCATATTGAGCTCTGCTTGAAGTGCCCGGCGCTTCTTCAACTTCACATTCCTCCTCATCACTCTGCATTTGGCTACTCATCTGCCAGGGAGGAGGAGATGAAAGGGATTGTCTGTAGAATTCTGGGTCACCCCAGTCAGGGCAGAGGCTTGCAGAATCATTCGCCACAGCTCCGGACAAAACAAGAAGCTGCGCACCATCAGATGATTCGGGCAACATCTTCTTGGCAATGCTTTGAGAACCAAACAGCAAAGACATAACATCTTGCCATCGTGGAAGGTCTGATGGTTTGCCAAACATGCGGTTCCTGCTGAACCATGTCAATATCCAAGAGGGTCTAGCACGCGGCGGGAGCTTGGTGCATCTTGCCTCCTTGTACTTGCTGACCAAACCATCGCACTGCCACTGTCGTATCACACAATCCACCATTGCCTTGACATCTGCATTCAAGAAGCCAATTTTCCACCAATAGGCTGGCACCTCATGACATGTGAGCAGTAGTGACTTGGCAACAGCACGGCCGATGCTTCCCTTCATCCCCAAAGATGTCAATCCACTTTCAGCTTGCATCTCAAAAGATCTCAAGGCAGCCACAGTCCGCCTGTTCTTCACATCTTGGCTCAACAAACCATGCAACCGACTGCGGCAGTATGATGCGGAACGGCCAGACAGTCTTGACAGTATGGGCCAGGTTGAAGCATCTGTGCGTAACTCACACCCCACAGGACGCTTCTGGACAGCTTTGCCCTCTGAAGCCTGTTGCAAACACGCCATGGATTCGGCCACGGCAAAGAGTTGCAGCCACGAAGCATCATCTGCCAGCTCCGCTCCCCAACGGCTGCGCTCCTGCCCTTCTTCTTCCTCGTCACTTCTCTGACCCTCGGCCGCTGGCCATGGATAAGGATTGGCATCCGGCGTCTGCACTGAACGTTTTCGCAACCGCCGCTTGCCATCACGTCGAGGCTTTGCTTGTTCCAAGCGTTGCGCATAGAAATCCGCTTCACTAAATCTGCTTTCATCTTCAGGCAATTTCTCTCCGTGGAGTTTTGCATAGTGCTCTGCTATGCTGGTGCGCTGAAAACACAAATAGCCGCAAAGGTGGCATTTGAAGCGGACGGCCAGGAGAGATGAAAACTCGACTTGGTTTCCGGATGGGTGTGCTCCCCGCAGATCGGTCAAGTGCCTACAATACTTGATGATTCTATCTGGGGGTACCATGATTTGACGACTCAAAGCCATCACTTCAGCCGATTTGGGTGTAAGCACCCTTCCTGGTGTGTTGATTTGCACTTCTTCCATTTGCTCATCTGGATTGCACGCTTCCACTTTGGCATGAACATCACTGTAAAAATCGTTCATGGAAGCTCGCTGCCGCGGCGTCAGCCAAGCAGACTTTGTCCAGTTTTTCGATTGGAAGATTTCCGGCAGCATGGCATTGGCAGGCAACGTGACCGTGCGTTTGGCACGTCGGTTTGGATCTTTGGTCTTGTCAACCTTGTCAGCCTTGTCAACCTTGTCCTCCCCGCTAGAGCTGTCCGCGCGGACGGTCGTGCGCCAGATTTCCACTTGGCCCTGCAGACATGTCCAATATGCATTCGCGGCGGTTGGTTGAGCCAAATCAAAACTCCCGGCGGGGTCAGTCACCTTGGATTCAGCCGTAAAGGTCGGAACCTGGACAAAGCGATTCAGTTGATACTTGATTTGAACCGCTCCTGGCTCATCTTCTCCCAAACTCTCTGCCAAACCAAGTTTCACCAAATGTCTCATCAATCGACGAACTGCATGCACAGACCGCAAATTACCAGAAGTATGCGTGCGCCCCAACAACATCCTTCTCAGCTCGTCAGGCACGTCTCTCACCAATAACGAATCCTGGCTGAGCAAAATCTCGTCGAGTAAATCGGAATATGTCCCACAACCAATCACTTGCAAAAAAATATCCAAGTCCATCTCGTCAACGATCTTGGAAGGAGTCCACTGCAGTTCAAAATCATGCCCCGCTTTACGCAAGAGCATCTCATGCAAAAGTTGTGTTCGCACGACTATAGCACTGAGAAAACCGTAGTGCTGCAGAATTCGTTGGTCCAACGTTACTTGAGGTGTTGTTAGCATGTGAATCCGGCCAAGACGGTGCAAGTTCTGCGCTGTGACGCTTGCAGGTAGTGTTCGTCTAGCTGCTGGCGTGGACCTTTGGGGTGAGAGAACTTGTTCCTGCGAATCCGCTGCGTCCGTCAATGCTAGAGGTGCATCTTTCCGGAGTTTTTTGAAGCGCCTCTCTTCTTGAACCTTCAAGGCTTCTTCGAAAGCTTTCCGCGCACTCTCCCTAGAATGGAGCGGCTTCCAGTATGCAAATTGGATCCGATCCGGATCATCGGTGGCGTTTCGTGTTGCAATACCCACGTTTTTGTTTGATTCCGAAAGCTCGATGAACAACTTCTTGGCTGTCTTACGGTCCATCTTGCCCAATGCTGCATCTTCTGCTGCAATCTTTGTAACGTCCACAGGCGTTAAAACCCCACGAGCCTGCAGCAAGACTTCCAAATGCTGCTGCCGTCGAACAAATGTAGTATCAATTCGCTTGTTTCCTGCTTCTTTGCCATGCTTGGAAGGCTTTTCAGGCTGAGTTCCATTCCGAGGGCGCTTGTGGCTTGTTCCTGATGGTGCATCAAAGCGATGCTGTGCGTCAAAATATCTGTTTAAATGGGTCTTCCCATCACTTTCGAACACTCTCAAAACCCGTTGCCTTTTGACCAAATCATTGAGAATTCTTTCCGAATGCTTCCGGCGGATCCCAAGGTAGTCTGCCAGCTCGGGCCCTGTGATGCCATTGCAACATTTGCTCGAGCACCGAATCAAGTCCTCAGCCTGCTGTGTAAATGATCTCTCACATACACGAAGGGTCCTTCTCGGTGCTGACACCAAGTCAGGGATGGAGGGGATGTGATTCACCTGACTGCCTTGATCTGAATGCTGTGCACTGTTTGCATCCATGGAGTCATCTTGACCTTCAGTGATGGCAAGGAGAGGCTGCATGCCAGGGTTTTCTGTTTGACCACCATGGGTTCCTGGGATACATAAAGCATCGCGCCAATGGTGTGCATGATGATTCCACGCTCGTACACATTCCACGTCTCCGGCCGCAACCATGTCATTGCGGATACGCTGATATATTTTGTTCACAGTTCGCCGTGACAGACACGGTTTGAAGGTATTTTCTTCCAAAGACTGCCCGATCACGCACTTCAAGTCATGCTCAAAACAGACACCCGAGGAATGCAGCTGCAGCGCCGATAAAATCTGGTTTTGAAGTCTGGAAGATGAACTTTGGATAAATGCCTGTATCTGGTCTTTCTCTACATTCTCCGTGTCAAAAAATCTCGAGAAAAGGAAAAGATTGCCAGGTAGCAGGTCAGAAGATTCTTTACTGACTCCCAAGTCTTTCTGCGCGAGTGGCAACACCCCAACCAACAAACCAGCAGTTCTGAGGCCTTCCAACACGTAAAACAAATCTCTGCAATTAACACCCAACTGTGATGCGAGGCTAGCGCCTGAAGTTCCTTTGGCTCTGCTCTTGGCCACAAGTTGGAGGGCTCTCCTTGACAAATCATTTTCTGCAATATCTGGATGCGCATCCAGGAGCAAAAAGTGTGACCTCAATGCATTTGGAATGTCCAGCAAGACTTTTCCGCTATCTGCATCTGATGGTTCTGTTGCCGCCATAGCTGCTGTAGCTGCTGGTAACGCCCGCCCAGAGCGATGCGCTGCACCTTTTGCACCTCGCACAATGATGTCTTGCTTGGCCAGCTCTCTCCACAACCCGGTTCGTATTGGAGCATCAATCGTAAAGTCACCATTTTGCTGCAATGTCGCAAGAAGCTGCGACCAAGATATACCAGGCGGACCTTCCCAAGCAATTTCTTCAACAGCTGTTTTGACCAAAGCCGCAAACATAGTTCCAATGGTCCAAGGCTCCAACTGAAACCAACTATATAGGTACAGATTCCGAGCTCAACTTGGCATGGCGAATCAGCAAACCCCGCGACCGAAGGACTGCTGACCTTTTCCCATTGTTTATCCTTTTCTCCCCACAAATTGTCAGTAATGGCATCTTTGAATCAGTTCAGTGATCAAATGAAATCTGTGGATCTGGTTTCCGGGTTCCATATGGTGTCGCTACACAAACAAGTTTGGTCAAGTGTAAAACTAAGTTTGTTTTTCTCTTTCAAATGTAATTTGATCACAAACAATCTTGAGAATCCAAAGTCAGTTCCGACAGAACAAACTGGCATCCGATCAAACGACAGACCTGACTCAAAATGAAGCAACCCTTCGCTGCCAAACTCTCTTTGACAGCAAACGAAATTCGATCAAAACATTGTGCAAAATTAAATTTGCTTAGATTTGGCCTAATACTTTTGAAAACTAATGCATGTGTGCCAGTGCTCACGCATCGGCATGTTTTGCATTGGTCAATACCCTAACAAAAATTGGACAATGTTGCTTACTTGAACTATGGATTTGAATCTCAATTTTAAAACGAAAAATGTGACGCGTACTTGGCGTGAAAGTTTGTGAGCGCCAGTTTTTTTCGTTCAACATTGATTTTGCTAACTGGGCACGTTTGCAACATGGAGTGGCGGTGTTTTTGCCCACCTGGTGTTGATGTTCGATCATTGTTGGTCAGCCCCACTACTGGTCCTGCGCGTGTTTGATTGAATTGAAACGAACAGAGCAAACATGGTTCCCTTCAATTGATGCGAAGGTGCGTAGTTCCGTGGACTTTCGTACATGTAAATTGCCGAAATTCTGAATGCAGGGTGTCGTCGTTATGGCTGCACCACCAGTTGTTGTTTAGCCTTGCACTTTGTTCACAAAAGGTTTAAATGGCAATGTGAATACAGGCGGGTATAATGCATTTTCACCTATTCTATGTCACGCGTGCCACATGCCCGCAGCAAGAACACAGCAATGTAGCACTGAGTGGCGCAACAATGTCGGCATTCGGCATTGCATTGTTTTTGCACAAAGAGAGACAGAGAGAGGCAGAGAGAGAGGCAGAGAGAGAGAAAGAGAGAGAGAGAGAGAGAGGCAGAGGAAGAGGGAGAGAAACGGAGAGAGGGAGAGATAAACATATTATGTTTCTGTAGTAAACTGGTGGGTTTTCTGTGTGTGTAACAGCCAAAAAAAAAACGAAACCGCGTTAAAATTTTGTTTTTCAAGTTTTCATTTTTGATGATGCACGCACTGCTTGGTGAAAATATGACATGTGTTCGCGCCACCCTCTCATCACTTTGTGTGTGTCAAATCGCTCTCGCTGTGCCGCGGTATATATATCACTTTGACATGGTTCGCGCAACCTTTTTCGCACTTTGGGCGTGTCAGATCGCTCTCATTGTAGCACGGTGCTCATTTTGATATCGTTTGCCCACCATTTTTTTGCACTTTGGGATGTTAGATCGCTCTCATTGTAGCGTGGTGCTCATTTTGATATCGCTCGCGCAACCATCTTGGCGCTTTGGGCATGTCAGATCATTGTGCCGCAGTGCTCGTTCTGTCAAGGAGACCACGCCGTCCGCAGCCGTCCGCGCAGCCACGCTCGCTCATCCCCAGCGGCTTCTTCTCCCCACCCATTTCCAGCCACCCCCTTGCACCCACGCCGTCCGCAGCCCGTCCGCGCAGCCAAGCTCGCTCGTCCCCAGCGGCTTCTTAGACCCCACCCATTTCCAGCCACTCCCTTGCAACCACGCCGTCCGCAGCCCGTCCGTGCAGCCAAGCTCGCTCGTCCCCAGCGGCTTTTTAGACCCCGCCCATTTCCAGCCACTCCCTTGCAACCACGCCGTCCACAGCCGTCCGCACAGCCACGCTCGCTGGATGTCATCGATATACTCTTGGTGGCTGCAATAATATGGTTTGGCTGTTTTTTTATCCCAATCTGTTTCGGTAGCTTCTTTGTCCATCAGATTGTCCGACCAGTTGCCGGCATCAGGAGGGTCTTCCACAGCATGGCCACGAAAGAACGGAGCTGCGTATGGCAGGCGGAAGCGGGGCATGAGTCTCCAGTACAAGCTTCCACGCGCAGCACCAAATGCAAAGCATCTTCTGCGAGAGCTGCCAGGTTTGGCAAGACTTCGGCCGCGCCTTCTACAGAGGTAGGGCTATCAGAGAAAATGTACTTGACCGTGTCCCGAGCAGCAGGACTTCAGCAATGGCCGCCCGAAACTGAGCAGGACTGAAGCCAGGCACAGCGCCCGAGAAACGTGTGACGGCATGGAATTCACCTTGTTTCTGTTGCACTGGCACTTGTCCAATGGCGCTGAACAATACTTGATATGTTGCATCATGACTGCAAACAAGCCATTCTTGGCGCTCCCCAGCGGCTTCTTCTCCCCACCCATTTCCAGCCACTCCCTTGCACCCACGCCGTCCACAGCCGTCCACGCAGCCAAGCTCGCTCATCCCCAGCGGCTTCTTAGACCCCGCCCATTTCCACCCACTCCCTTGCACCCACGCCGTCCGCAACCGTCCGCGCAGCCAACACTTTTCTCCCCACCCACAATTCCACCCACTTCCTTGCAAACACGCCGTCCACAGCCGTCCGCGCAGCCAAGCTCGCTCATTCCCAGCAACTTCTTCTCCCCGCCCATTTCCAGCCTCTCCCTTGTACCCACGCCGTCCGCACCCGTCCCCGCAGCCGCTCGCTCATCCCCAGCGGCTTCTTCTCCCCACCCATTTCCAGCCAATCCCTTGCACCCACAGCCAAGCTCGCTCATCCCCACCGCCTTCTTCTCCCCAACCCATTTCCAGCCACCCCCTTGCACCCATGCCGTCCGCAGCCGTCCGCGCAGCAAGCTCGCTCATCCCCAGCGGCTTCTTCTCCCCACCCATTGCCAGCCTCTCCCTTGCACCCACGCCGTCCGCACCCATCCCCGCAGCCAAAGCTCGCTCATCCCCAGCGGCTTCCCACCCATTTCCAGCCACTCCCTTGCACCCACGCCGTCCGCAACCGTCCGCGCAGCCAAGCTCGCTCATCCCCAGCGGCTTCTTCTCGCCACCCATTTCCAGCCACTCCCTTGCACCCACCCTGTCCGCAGCCGTCCGCGCAGCCAAGCTCGCTGATCTCCTTCTCCCCACCCATTTCCAGCCACCCCCTTGCAACCACGCCGTCCGCAGCCGTCCGCACAGCCACGCTCGCTCATGCAGCGGCTTCTTCTCCCCACCCATTTCCAGCCTCTCCCTTGCACCTACGCCGTCCGCAGGCGGGTCTGGGCCTCACCTGAGCACGCGTTTTTTGGCGCACGTGCGCACACACAAACAGGCCAGCTCATCAAATACCTCGGCCCACAGCGCATCGCCCGGGTCGCGAGTGTCGTCGGCGCTGCTGTAAGGGCATGGGTAGCCGACATCCAAGCAACTAATGCAAATGCCGCCGAGGTATGACAGCTCCTTCCGTTGTTTGCGGGGGACTTCGTCCAACAGCTGCTCGAACAGTGGCCCCAAGCGCAGGAGCTCGCAAATGGGCTCCACATCTACCAGGCTGTCGGGCAACTCACGCCACCGTTGCCATTGAGCACAGTTTTCCATGATCTGGACTATTGCGGTGGAAATCGCCATTGCTGCACGAAGCGAAGAAGAAGGGAAAGCACCACGCCGTTGAAGCTAAAATTAAGGTGCTCCAGACATTCTTGAATGCATTGGCTAAGTTTTGTAAAGTCCACGACCTCAAACCAAGTAATGTCGGCCCCAGTTCCAAGCATGATATGTTCCAACGTGTCCAATCGACCGCAATGCTTTTTTCACACGGTTAAGCCAGCTCCTGCGTCATGAGGGCATCGCCCATTAGGCCGCCCACCCACACCCGCCCTTCAGGCGCCATCTCGTCCGAGTTATGCGGGATGAAGGGCACAGCTTTAACCGCCTTTGCAATGCTTGAACCAGAGGGAATTCAACACATGCTCGCTGCATCCCTGGCCTGGCAAAGGGCCTCCAATGTCTCATCGGAGACCCGAGCCACCGGCTCGGGCAAGTAGATCACCAAGATGTGATCTCCGGACCGGCCGCACATCACCTCGATTAAGCCCCCAAAAGTGTCAAGAATGGTGCAAGTGACATAATGTTTGCCAGCCTTCGCTGCGTCCACCGGCAGCTCTGGTGGAAGAGCTGCTGCCCAGTTGAAATCGGACCGCAGCACCTGTCAAGCGCACGCATTTTTAACAAACAGATATGCTTGCTTTGACATCGCCTGCCTGAGGCATGAGGGCGATCTCGAGGTTTTGTCTGCTTATCAGGCGTTTTTGGTCCCACGCGCGCACGCGCAAGAGTTTCTGGGGTGGGGTGGGGTGGGGTAATAACGTTCATCTTGGGTGGGGTGGGGGGGTGGGGTGGAGTAAGTAATAACGTTCATCTTCGCTTGCAAACACACGCACTGACCTGGGGTCGGGCTTTGGTTGGGTGGGCTGGGGTGGGGTGGGGTAATAACGTTCATCTTCGCTTGCAAACACACGCACTGACCTGGGGTCAGGCTTTGAGCAAAAAAAAATTGAACACCTCTGCGGCGGGAAACACTGTTGCAAGCCATGTTAAAAACACCACACATTCGGACCACTAGAGAACATTCACATGTCGAAAAAAAGCACGCTGTTTTTCTCCGGGAAGCGCATGTCGAAGTTTACATGTTAAAAACACCACGCGTTCGGACCACTTTTGGACGCTCTGCAATCGTTTTGCGTGGCAGACAGATAGAAACAGAAGCAAGCAAGCCAAACGCAGAACTACTTGAAAGGTCCACTTTGGAAGATTGAAACCGGTAAGCACCCAAAAGTAGAGCTGGGGAGGTCCATTTCGAAGGATTCGGGCCGCTCAGTTAGCAAAACAAGGAACCAGACGGAGAACAACGGAGCACAGCCAAGCAGACAAAGAGCCCCATTGGGGGGAGCACAGCCAGAGTGAAGAGTTCCGTGTTGAACGAGGAGGGCATCAGAGAGAGAGAACGATACACAGAGAGGACGATGCACAGGCAATCGAATGAGGAGCAGAACAGCTGGGGAAGGCCAAAGCATGCACACACAAGCCGAGAGCATGCGCAGACGAGCCTGATTTCTACATCTGCAAGCTCCCAGACAGGCGACAGCGTGCGCAGGCGAGCCTCAAAAAGGACCCGGGACAATGCAGGTAGGTAGACGCCGAGACGTCATTTTCGTTGACCTGCACGAGAAAAAATAAGCATACAATGGCACGGCGTGCAAGTAGTGCGCGCGCGCGACCAGCATGCGCGTGCCCACGCGAGACCGACATGCGCGTGCGCGCGCGAGGCAGTGACCGTCCGCAGCTGTCCGCAGCCGTCCGCGCAGCCACGCTCGCTGATCTATAGCTAAGTTCGCTCATCGCCAGCGGCTTCTTCTCCCCAATAATTTCCAACCACTGCCACTCCCTTTGCACCCACGCCGTCCGCAGCCATCAACCTCGCTCATCCCCAACGCCTTCTTCTCCTCCCCTTCCAGCCACTTCCTTGCAACCAAACCGTCCGCAGTGGTCCGCGAAGCTCGCTCATCCGCAGCGGCTTCTTTCCCCACCCATTTCCACCCACTCCTATGACCCACGCCGTCCGCAGCCGTCCGTGCAGCCAAGCTCGCTCATCCCCATGCAGTGGCTTCTTCTCCCCACCCATTTCCAGACCACGCCGTCCGCAGCCGTCCCCGCACCCAAGCTCGCTCATCCCCAGCGGCTTCTTCTCCCCACCCATTTCCATCCACCCCCTTGCAACCACGCCGTCCGCAGCCGTGCGCGCAGCCAAGCTCGCTCATCCCCAGCGGCTTCTTCTCCCCACCCATTTCCAGCCACTCCCTTGCACCCACGCCATCCGCAGCCGTCCACGCAGCCAAGCTCGCTCATCCCCAGCGGCTTCTTCTCCCCGCCCATTTCCACCGACTCCCTTGCACCCGCAGCCGTCCGCGCAACCAGGCACATTTTCTCCCCACCCAATTCCACCCACTCCCTGGCAACCACGCCGCAGCCGTCCGCGCAGCCAAGCTCGCTGATCTCCAGCGGCTTCTTCTCCCCACCGATTTCTAGCCACCCCGTTGCTCATCCCCAGCTGCCTCACAGCTAACTCTTTCTGTAATTCCTGCACCTTCTTTTTTGCACAGCTCTTTAAAATGGATTTAGCAGCCTCCAGCTGCAAGCCCACATGGCACAAGAGTAACACGATGATCAAAAACTACATTTCGCGCAACTGTTGCAATGTGTTTGGCAACCCCCTCTGGACGCTTCACTTTCTGACGATTTCGAGGCTCAAACGGAGCTCTCGCGTGGGGATGTTAACGTTCATGTTAACTTGCGTCACATGCACAACTGACGTCACGTCACTGGGTTGGCTTGGGGTGGGGACGTTAACTTTCATGTTAACTTGCGTCACATGCACAACTGACGTCACGAGACTGGGTTGGGGTGGGGTGGGGATGTAAACGTTCATGTTAACTTGCATCACATGCACAACTGACGTCACGTCACTGGGAAGGGCGAGTTGAAAAATGAGTTTTGCTGAATGACTGGTGGTCAGATGTGACTGAATCAGTCCAACAAAAGAGAAAAAACAATAATTTTTTTCAGACGTGTTGAAAATCGATGAACGTTCCACACGAAACGCACTTTTGGTAGTTGGCCCGCACGTTTGTACAAAACCTTGCAAATACCATGATTTGGTGAACGAAACATCATGAAAAATCCATGAGTTACCCCGGGTCGCTAACCGCGCTGTAGCCTTGTTTTTGCTTTGTTCGGCCTGCGGCCCCTGCATTTTTGGTTTCATGTTGCAACCCCCTTGGACCAACGCACTTCAAGCGAACAACTGTGAAAACAAAGCCGTCCAACTGTTCATTGAAACAGTGTAAGCACACACGCACTCTTTTTCACCATGTTGCCAAACCGCGAAACCAAACAATTGGATGTGGGTAATTATGGTGAAGATTACCTACGACATTTTTGCCGGTTTGTTGCGGCTTCGTTTGCGGCCGCTTTTGGTGCAATGGTTGTGTTTGTAAAACACGTGCGAAAATCTTTGGAATGGGGAACCCCGTTTTGGTTAGCCAACCTTCATTTGAAGAAAAAAATTGACAGAATTTAGCACAAAACATTGTTTGGTGCATTGAGGAAAGCGAAGGGTTCCAAATATGTATATAAATTTGTTGCACGGGTTGTATGCCAAACCGGACAGGCGGACAAATTCGAAATTCTATTCAACATGTGACTAGCCTAATGTTCCTTAATACTGGGTTGGAGTTGGCATTGCGAAATTGAAAGCCAGAGTTGCAGTTTCACAGTATTGGGCCCATGAAGGGTTGGATGTCCGACTCACAGAACGTCTTACCAACATTCGGTCTGCAAATGGTAGGTTATTTTTTTCAGAAATTTCCCGCAAATTAATTTTTGTGTTTGATTTTTTGATTGTGGAAATGCACCGAAGACCGAAAGCAATGTATTGACTACATGTCCTCGGCTTTGCTTTCTCAAACATTTGGTCGCATTTTTTCTGCAAATTTAGCGGCCAAGTGGCCTTGGAACATCAAATTTGATTTGCTCGGAGTCATTTTCACAAGTACAAACGCGGTTTGTTATGTTCCATTGAATGTGTCACTGAAAGTGTTTGATGCGGCTGTTTCTCGACCATTTTTTCAAATTGGATGGGTTCCAGTCCAGCACGGACGGGGCAGATTGACAGGGGACGATTCGGCCGAAACTATAACGCGCATTAACGCCAAATTGCCCCTCCCGGCAATGGACAACAAAAATTTAATCCGATGGTCGGATTCGCAAACAAAAACAGATCCGTTTGTCTACACGTGCCCATGACAAAACGGGCCCCATCAAAAACTTGCATACCAATTTCCGTACTGAACCTCCCTCACGGCAAGGAGGCACCGAGGCGATGGGACGACGATTTGGCAAAATGTCCGCATCAATATTTCGTGAACATTGGGTCGGCGCAGCCCAAAAGATCAAAATGGGCTATACTGGCATCAACCGTAAAAAGATTCCTGCTATATAACAATTGCTGTGCCTGACATGACCGCGGCGGCGGGCAACACAGCCTTTTCGAACCGAGGTGACCCGCACGGGTGATAGGACGAAAGACGAGGTGCTTGCATTATTGACTTAATCGCGTGGGTAGCTTCGTGAACCTGCCCACGGCTGATATCAATCAGACCCACTCGGGTACATAGCAAATTCTCACCTAGGCCTTCTTATCTTTATATGTCCGGTCTTCATTTTTGAGGGTTGTGTGTGCCCTTTGTTGGAAAAAACTGCGCTGTGGGGCTATCGTTCGTGTCATCAAACCAGGAACTGCCTGTCAGTGTTGCACGATCAGCTGGGGTATACAGGTGAACAAGGCAATGGCCGCTTTCACTCCCAATTCCAAAATGTAAAGTGATTTAACCCCGAAGGTCATCCAAGTCACGTGAAACGGAAAATTCCCGATTCAAAAATTTGCATGGAAAGGTGGGCCATACAATAAATTATGGATGATGATGGGTGCTGCTCATCACCATGTTCACAGCATAGGTTTTACCAACAAATTATCACATCCAATATTGACGACGTGATGTGTTTTACCCACTCCTTTTTTTCACTTTAATTTTGCGCGTTCATGGAAGGTTTCCGCCTGATAATTGGATCATACTGGGTCTCTTCAAAGCACGGCGCGCCCAAAGTAACGAAAAAGAAATGGCGGCCTTGGGAAGGATACAAAACAACTAACTAAGATGTGCAATTCCAAAATTCAAAATTGTATATGCGAGACTACGAGTTAAAAAAAAAAATATATATATATGGGACCGAACGTCCAGCGCAAAATCGTGCAAAAAAATGGAATCAAACCAACAAATATAACCGAAATAAAATCAAGATATGGGCCAAAAAAAAAATCAAATGGAACGAGAAAAATAGGCAGAGGAAACCTAGAAAAAAAAATCGTGTATGATGAAGAAAATCGTGCCACAATCATGTAAGGCCGTTCCCCTAGTGATTTGGTCGTCAGACTCGTTGTCGGAAAAAAAATGCAATAATTTTTTGCCGCCAGTTTCAAAATCAAGCACTTGGAATTGGTATAGCGGTTCAATACATTGCATGTTTTTCATGTGCAAGCGCTTGTTTTGCCAGTGCTGGGTGTTTCTGTCCTGCCATTTCCTGTGCGAA